GCCTTCTGGAGTGGGGACAGCGCTTGCTTTCAAAGCCATGAATTCCCAGCGGGGGCATCCAGACCATTTCAATTAAAGCAGATCAGGGAGCTGAGACACGGGCCCCAGATCTGAGGCCTCATGGGGGCTGATGGGACTCCCGCTTTGCCAGACTCCAGCCCCCAGCCTGTGCTCTCTGGGCCCTGTTTCTCCTGCACTCCAAAGTCCCCAGATTAATTAGAGCTGACTTTTCTTTTTGGAACTAACTACAAAACCAACTGATCTCAAATCGAGATTACAAGCCAGCCGCCCTTCCAAAGCCCTGGCCTTCGGTGGGGCGCCTGACCCCGGTAATTCCCCGGATCACTTCCTGCCGGCCCTAATTACCGGAGGACCTGGCGTTTCCGCGGTCCCAGGCCTCTCCAGTCTGGAGCTGGCTAGGGCAGAGAAGAGGGAGCCGCGCTGCCTTTCTCCCGGAAGGGAGTCCTGGGAACTCTTTAGGGGAGAGAAAGACATTAGCCCTCCTCACCCAGCTTTTCCAACCCGGGAAAGGGCACTGGTCCAGACTTAAGGCCTGAGTCACCTGCTGGCCTCCCCCCAGCCCTCCACTCCCCACACTTCTTCCCTGCAGAGAACAAAGAGTCTGTGTGGAGCTGCTCAGGCCCAGGGCCCTCCTCACCCGCAGCTGGGCCGCAGCGGGAGCCTCATGTTAGGGAGGTCTACGCATCTCCCCCTGCTCCTCGGGCCTGACCTTTGCTCAGCTGGGGAGCTGACCTGGAAGCCCCCCACCTCTTTCGAGACTATGTCTTCTTGCCAAGTCCCTGCCCCACTTGTTCAACAAACAGTGAATCACCAAATAAGAGAGCAGAGCACGACCGGTTTGTGCTCCAAAGAGCTCGCTTCCATCCTGTCATCTGGGTAAAGGATGCGTCCTCCCACCTGGAAGCGGAACCAGAATAGAGAACCTATTGATGCTGGTGCGAACTCTGGACAGGGGCAGCTGGAGTCAGTGGCATCACAAAAGTGGGGGCTTGGATGGCCTTCAAGGTCATTCAGAGCAGCCACCTGTGCTCACCCCAGCACTTTCTTGGCCACAAAGACTGGAATCCACCCCTTCCAGGCCAGCCAGCCAGCGTCCTTGGTTCTTGGCACCAAGGTTAAAGAGCCAGTCTCCCAGGTGGTAGGCAGGGCAGGGCTGGCCTGGGGGTCGCAGGCCAGGTTCCACAGCAGGGACCACTGCCCATGCTCCGTGCATCTGGGGCAGGACCCTTTGAAATGCTTGGAGCGCCCACTTTCCCAGCTGCTGGATGGCCCGGATCCGGTGGCCGAGCTCCCTGCTGGGAGGACAGGAGGTACAGGAGGTAAATTGGGGCCCTCGCGTTTTGGCAGACTATGAGCTCTCCCTCCCCAACTAAGACATTAGTGAGTTAGTGGATCTAAATTTAGGACAATTCCAAACTTAAACCTTTTAAACAAAATAACTTCTACGAAGTGAAACGGGAAAGAAGGAGCCTCTAGATGTGCTCTCGCAAAGCCATGCCATGAGGAAAAGCTCTGTGTGCACAGTGTGTCAATGTCCTCCCTTTAGCAATGGCCCCGGAAATGCTCCCCGTCCCCCCATCCCACCACCCCTGCAAATGAATGCCCTGCCCTCAGCCACCCTGGAGTCCTTGATCATGACTCTCAGCCCGCTCTCACCTCTCCCACCGTCCAGAATCAATGTTTTCTGGTGCAGAATGAGCCCAGCCGCCGGTTCAGAGGTCAGGCTGGGGCAAGCCCCTGGAGACAAGCCCTGGAGAAGGAGACTGGTGAGAGTGGAATGAGCCCTCAGGGTGGGGTCAGCCGGGGCCACCCCTGCTTCCTGCCCAGCAGAGGAGTGGGAAGTGAGGGAGGCCCCGGGATGGGGATCAAGGGAGCCTGGGTCACCTAGAGAATTAAGAGACTTGACCCAGAGGGGAGGGAAGGGGCAAAGGTCAGCCACCCTAAGGAGGAGGCTTGCCTCCTTAGAGGCTGCAAGGGGCCCAGATTTCCCTGGAGTGTGCAGTTGCATCTTTATATACAAACCATCATGGGCTGAAGACAACCCCGATTAGCCCGGAAACCCTCACTCCCAGGGTTCTGCTCTGCACAGCTCACGTGGAGATTGGAGAGCGTGGGCAGACCCCAGCCTCCTCCCCTACTGAGGCATCCCAGGCTGTCCTCCGGAGCAGAAGGAGACCAACTGAGCCCCTCGTACAGCCGCAGAGCTAACGTTCCCTCCCCCGAGGAGCCTTGTTCCGGAACTGCCAACACACCCAGTGTCAGCTCCTCGGCTTTGGCCTGTCAGGAGCAGGGGTAGGTAGGAAGGGTCTAGTCCAATCCCTCTTTGCAGACCCAGAGAGAGGAAGTGACTTATGCAGGGTTCCACAGACAGCCTTTCCTGACTCCCCCGCCCAGCTCCCTCGGTGGGGGTGGGAAGGTGAGGGCACATGTATTGGGGGAAAGCTGAGGGAAAGATGGGAAGAGGAAAAATGGGGCAAACAGGAGATCCTTGAATAGTCAGGGACGCCCAAGCTGACCTCCCACCTGTACCTCCCCACCCCCAGGGAACTCTGCCTGGTGTCCTCGGGGCTGAGTCAACCCAGTTGGGTTGTTTGGAATTTGAGCAGGGGTCCTCCAAAGGAAAGAGTGATGGGGCCCTCGGCTGGCGCTCTACAGCCACTGTCGCCAGACTTCTGGTGAAGTCCTATGGCGCCCTCTGCTGGCTGTAGAGCAGAACTGCTCACAGGCCGGCCCCGGCTCAGCTCTTTTCCCTGGGGCCTGTGGTTAACGACACAGCCCTGGCCTGAGCACTGACTTTTCACCCCTATGGGGCACAGACCGGAGGGCCATCCAGAAGAGAGGGCTTTGCCCTGCTTTTGACCTGCAGAGGGTGTTTAACAGAAGCGACGGAACACCAGTCGCTGGTACCTGCACTTGGCAGACAAAAGACCTGTGTCCAAATCCCTGCTCTGTGTGACACTGGCAGTCATACCTGGCCTTCCAGAGCCACAGTTTGCTGACCTGTGAAACAGGAATAACATCCACTCCCTCACTGATCAGAGGGCATTCTTAGAGATTGAATAGAAGAAGGATGTATCTTAGAGATTGAATAGAAGAAGGATGTAAAGACTTAACTCAGTGCCAGACACATAACAGACAGAGTAAATGGCTGTGCCTTTCTCCACTCTTTCCTACAAGAGGGATTTACCAGAATTTAGTGCCTGGGGCAGACCTGGGGCACCAGCTTGTCTGCTGTGGTCACTTCTGAGTCCAGCTCTACCACCCCTGCCTGTGGCTCAGGGGTCCTGGTGGGGTCGGGTGAGGGAGGGCTCCTGCATTTGGAGCTAAAGTTTCTGTGAATTCTTTCACAGAATTCAGAGACTTGACCCAAAGAGGATGGAGATGAAGCCGTCCCTAGCAGACATGATTTGTGTGTACAGGTTATATACACACAGTAGTTCCCGCTGCACTGAGGAACCAGCACTGGGCTATGGGGCAGAGCAAAAAGCTTCACGAGGAGATGACATTTGACCAGCACCCCAAGGATGAATAGGGTTTTGAGCAGAGGAAATAGCAGAAAGGCAGAGAATTCTGAAAACGGGTGATGTTTCCAGAGAAACAGTGTAGGTGTCAGGATGTGAGGCGATGAGACCAGGAGGGAGCTGGGGTGGAATGCCATGCTCAGGAGCCTGGCCCCTTTGCCACAGTCAATGCCGGGCGGTGGCAGTGTCAAAGTACAGGAGTGTTACTGTCCAGTCTGTGTGTTGGACGCTTATCTGGATGCCAGCGTGGAGGCCCAGTCATGGAGGGGAAAGGTTGGAAGTAGCTTCAGCCTCTGCAAGGAGAGGGGTGGACCAGGGCTTCCTGTAAGATGTCAGGGAAGGGACGAGGTCAGCTGAAAAGATGGAGGCCAGGTGGGGCCATGTTCCCCCTCTGCCTGTGGGGTATGCAGCGTGGCCTCCAGGCCACAGGGTCTGAGCTGCTACCACGCATGCTGCACAGCACCCTGAGCCCTGGCTGGGGCTTACACTGGGACTTCTTTTGGGGTTCCACTCGGAGACAAAGGCCTCCTTCCTCCCTTGCACCCCTCCCCCTCTGACACAGCAGGTAAGTCTTGACTCACCTACTCTCGGCCCCCAATTGTCGTTGGCTGTCACCTCCAACCCCATCTCCTCCTGGTGTGTCCTTCCAAGGAGGGCAGGACACTCCCTGTCCTTCCTGATCTCACTCCTCCCCTTAGATTTGGCATTTTCAGCAGGAAGTAAAGAGGTTACACAAAAAGACAGGACACTGCCGAGATGGTAGAGCAAAGCCCAAGTGTGATATCCTGGAGAAGCAGCTGCGTGACTGGTGCCTCTGGCCAGGCAGGGCCAGGAGTGCAGAGAAGTGGGTGGGCTCCGGGCCACGCCCTGCCTCCATCCACAGTCCCCCACCGCCCAAAGCCTCCCCGACCTGGGGCCAAAGCCCTTATGTCCTCGGGAAGAGTTAGACCCAAGGAGCCTGGAAGGAAGAGGACCCCAGGGAAGAGGAGAGGCCGGAGCCCCATCTGGCTCAGCCAGCAGTACCACCCATGCAAACGTGCAGAGTGAAAATGGGCAGGAGGCAGCAGGCCAGGGAGGGAGGGAAGGTATGCAGTAGGCAAGTGGCCGGCTCAGGCCCACGGCCCTAGCCCAGTCCCCCGTCAGGCAGGAAACCTTGTGCAAGTCCGCTTTCCCCCTCCCTGGCCTCAGGCTCCTCCTGGTGGGCCTCTCTTTGGGGCTCTGTCCTGCTCTGTGGTCTGCGACTCGGGTCCTTGTGCAGGTCCACCTTGCTGAGAAGAGGGGCCCACCGTGGCTGCCGGCAATGGTGGGGACCTCAAGCTCCTCACGGGCTGGACGGTCCTCCCAAGCTTCCACAGCAACCACTCTCACTGACATCCTTGCAGGCCACGCTTCCAGGGCCAAGACCTTGGGCCCTGAGTCTGGTCCTCTTCTCACTGTTTCTCTTGTTTCTTCCTTCAGGGAGAACGGGGCATGCCAGGGATGCCGGGCAAACACGGAGCAAAGGTACGCCACCCCCAGGCAGCTCCCCCAGCCCCAGCCCTCTCTCCCCGCTCCTTCCCTTCCCACATCCTGTCTTGCTGTAAAGACAGGAGATGGGGTGCACATTTCTTCCCGTCCTCTCCCCTTTGCTGCCTGGCCTGTCTTCCAGGCAGGGGTGCTCCTTTTTGGCCCATGAACCATCACTCAGCAGTGCCCTCCCGACATGGCCAGGCCTCCTTGTGGGCAACTGTGGGTCATAAAAGTCCTCTCAAGGGCTTCCCTGGTGGCGCAGTGGTTGAGAGTCCGCCTGCTGATGCAGGGGACGCGGGTTCGTGCCCCGGTCCGGGAAGATCCCACATGCCGCGGAGCGGCTGGGCCCGTGAGCCATGGCCGCTGAGCCTGTGCGTCCAGAGCCTGTGCTCCACAACGGGAGAGGCCACAACAGTGACAGGCCCGCGTACCGGAAAAAAAAAAAAGTCCTTTCAGGTACCCCCAGCTCTGGCTGCAGTTCTGAGACCCATGTGGGAATCGGGACCCCCTAAAAATCACCTTCACTTGGAATTTACTAAGTGGTGTGCTTGGCAGCCTGTTTACCTCAAAGTTGGTGGTCTTGTGCTGATAAGGAAATGGAGTTCACTCCCAGCCACGCCCCAGTCCATCAGGGCATAGGGCCAGAGAGCTCCCTTGAGGAGAGTCCCACGGGCACCCTCAGGGTCCAGGAGTTTGGTGAACTCAGCCATCTACTGTTGTCCCCTTCCCCATGGCTCTCCCTTTCTCCCCTTTCTCCTCCTCCTCCTTTCCTATCCCAAGAAGCCCTCCCCGCATTCCACCCAGGGGGGCCCCTGTCTAGCCCAGCCATGGGCTGCCTGACACAGTGCCCTCTAAGTCCCCCAGGAGGGTCTAGGGGCTGAGCAGGTGGGTGGGAAGCCCAGGGAGCCCAGCTGAGCTGTGCAGAGCCTCTTCCTCGGACCCACTCCCTCTGTGCCAAGGTCAGCAACCCCCTTCCCTGTGGGCCTGGGGGCAGGCAGAAGCCTCCACATCTCACATCTCTCCAAGAAGAGGCTGGGAGAGGAGGCTGGCCACGTCCTCTGTGCTTCCCGCTGGGTGAGAAAGTCCCCATGCCTTTCCTTCTCTCTGCCAGGGGGCTCCTGGAATTGCTGTGGCTGGGATGAAGGTCAGTGGACCTTGTAACTCAACACCTGAGGGGCAGGGTGGGAGGGATGGAGAGAGGACAGAGTTGGGCTTCAGGGGCTCATTGGGTGGCCACTGGACCAAGGAGGGAGCAGACAGGTTTCAGAACCATTTCTCTTAAAGCAACATTTATGCCAGATGCACAGACTGAACAACAGATGTTTAACTAAGCCTTGCAAGCAAGTGGCAAAGGTTCACCAGCCTCAACTAAAGGTCTTGCCAGCCTGCCGATGTGAAAGGAACCTAGCACTTTGCTTTACACTCCAAAATTCAGCAGATGGGGGCTTCCCTGGTGGCGCAGTGGTTGACAGTCCGCCTGCCGATGCAGGGGATGCAGGTTCGTGCCCCGGTCTGGGAAGATCCCACATGCCGCGGAGTGGCTGGGCCCATGAGCCATGGCAGCTGAGCCTGTGCATCCGGAGCCTGTGCTCTGCAACGGGAGAGGCCACAACAGCGAGAGGCCCTCATACAGCAAAAAAAAAAATTTTTTTAATTCAGCAGATGGGAGGAGACACCCCGGAAGCACAAATGCTCAATGTGGATCTCCCAGCAGGTCATTTACAGGGACACCGTGTCAGAAGCAAATGTCCCTTCCTTCCTCTCCCTCCTCCTGGGCTGCCTCACACCTGCCACCTCTCTCACCTGGGGGAAGAATAAGGGACAGTCCAGGAGGGGCCCGAGTCCTAGGCAGCGGGAAGCCCTGGGCTGGCCAGACGCTTCCCCTACCCTCAGATGCCTTCACTCCTCTGCTTCTGCGTTCACTCACTCTCGCTCTCTCATTTCTTTTTACCTGAGTCTTGTTTTTTTCCTACACAGGGTGAGCCTGGGATCCCAGGAGCCAAGGTACTGATACAGAGGCAACACGTAGTGTCAGGTGTGGGATGGAGGTGGGAGGGGCTGCTGTTGTTTTGCTCCTGGTCCCCCGAGGCTAGCCTGGGGCTGGGGACCTGACTGAGCAGAGGAGAGCTTGCGGGGAGGGGCTTGCTCCTCAGGAATGCTCTGCAGATGCCTCCCCACTTCCCTGGATCCTGGCCTGGGCAGCGGTCTGGTTTGCATTCACACCAGCTCCAGTGGTGACTGTTGTCCCCTGTACCCACAGGGCTCTGTCTCTCTCATCCAGGACAATAAGAGATGTAACATGAGAAAAAGTTTCCATGGTCAAATACGTTTGAGAAATGCAGGGTTAAAACTATTACACAGGTGTCTTTACTGCAGGCCTTCTCAGAGCCTTTACTATGCTAAATATACATTGGGAAACTCTAAAAAAAAAAAAAAAAATGCAGGGTCTTGTGCAGCATTTTCAAACTTTCTGACCAGGGCATTCTTTTTTTAAGAGGAGTGTCTTACGAGGCAAGTATTCTGGAAACACTGATCTATGATTACTGCCCTTCGTACCCCTCACCACCCCTACCCCATCCTCTTATCAGTGACTTTCTCTTCTTAACCCAAAGGGAGACCCAGGAGCAACAGGGAAGCCGGGGCCCCCAGGTTTGCCGGGAAAGACGGGGCAGAGGGTAGGATACCGTGTCCTTGAGTGTGTGCTCCCTTCATCCTGGCCTCTGCTGGTCCCCCACTGCCTGCCCCACCCCTGTGGCTGGCATGCTGCTTGCAGTGTGCAGTGGGTGCATGTGTCTCCAGGAAAAAGGGAGTGCCTCGATGGCCTGGCAAAGCTTCAGGAAATTCACACTCAAGAGCACAGCTTTTCTCCTTGAAAGCCATTGGGTACCCAGGAGGAAAGCCTAGAAGGAAGGGAAGCTTTCCCTCCCCCCACCCCCATCCCCCAGGACCTCTGTAGGGCAGGACCGCACCCTTTCCCTTAGACCTGGCCTGTTTGAGGGGGTGCCCCAGCTAAAGGCAAAGGCACAGCCCAGGCACAGCAGGGCCAGCTGGGGCCTCAGGATTCACATCCCTCTCATCACCTGGGCCCTTATCTGCCCCTCCTCTCCTCCCTTAGCCTGCTACAGGCCATTTTGTCATTCAGCTTGTACCCAAGGGCAGGTGGCAAGGGGAAGACAGCTAAAGATTTGGTGTGGCAACTTTTGTGGCTCCAGCTGAAAAGTTCATTGAGATGTGAGCACATTATAACCCCAGGGTCCTCAATTTATATTATTACCTATGAGAACCACCAGCCTTCAGGCTATGGAGAGTGGGGCTTCTCATGCTGACCAGGCAGGGGCCTTCTTGATACTGGATGCTCTGAATCAAAGTGAAGTCTTTGTGGCATAGAAGGCGGACCTGGGTGCTGGACGTGGCTGTGTCACTGCTGCAGTGAGGGGTCGTCCACAGTCTCGGAGCCCCTTCCTTTCTGCAATGAGAGCAGGGCTCTGGGACTTGCGCCATAAGGGAGAAAAAGTGTTCTTCAGGAAGAAGCTAGTTAGGGAAGGGTACTCGTTTACTAGGGCTGCCCTAACACAGGACCACAAACTGTGTGGCTTCTACAACAGAAATGTATTGTCCCACAGTTCTGAGGACAGAAGTCTGAGATCAAGGTGTTGACAGGGTTAGTTCCTTCTGTGGGGTGTGAAGAAAAATCTGTTCCGTGCTTCTCTTTTAGTTCCCGGTAGTTTGCTGGCACCTTGGCTTGTAGAAGCATCGCCCCAATCTCTGCCTTCATCTTCACACGGTGTTCTCCCGATATGCATGTCTGTGTCCAAATTTCCCCTTTTTATAAGGACACCAATCATATTGGATTAGGGGCCCACCTCATAACTTAGCTAATTACATCTCCAATGGCCCAGCTTCCAAATAAGGTCACATTCTGAGATACTTGGAGTTAGGACTTCAACAAATGAATTTTCATGGGACACAATTCAACCCATAATAGGAGGCAAACTTCTCAAAATATTCCTCCAAAGGAGAAGTTCTGGTTCGATAGTTTTTGTCCTCCCTAGAGGTAGGGAGGAGGTAGACGGAAAGCTCTCTCTAGAGACCAGGGGTATCTAATTGCTAGACATTACAAACATAAAAAAGAGCCAAGCAGTTTAAAAAAGCCTTTCCCAAATACTGGCATTCTGAACTGCTCGCCTGTCCCCAGGAGACCCCCAAAAGTGACTGAATGCTCCTGGCCCCTCTCCCTGCGTAAGTGCTGAGGGCCCCACCCACACAGGATGGGGAGGATAACAATACCAGGGTGAAGTGTCCCAAGGAAGGAGTCTGGTCCCTGATGGGGTCCAGCCGAAAGTGGAGTCCTTCCGAGAAGAGCCCACGCAGGGGCAGAGAGACGAGAGAGAAAAGCCAAGGCCCGACGCTGGAGGGCTGGTGCCTTCGCCAACATCCCGGAGAAACAGTTCCTAACCCAAACTGTCTGCATTTCCTCCGCAGGGTGAGAAGGGGGCTGCGGGCCCCCCTGGGCTACTCGGCCTCCTAGGGCAGAAGGTGGGTAGCAACCAGCTCTGAATGGTGGGTTCTGTGTAAAGGCCCCAGTGTCCATCCCCAGCCACATTCGTAGCCCTGCACATTCACACGGGCCCCAGCACTGGAGGTGTCCCTCCCAGATTGGGGGAAAGCAGCTGGAACACAGCCAGATTGTGTTTTGGGGGGCAGAGGCATGGGGTTCCACATGGGAGGCCCTGATTGGCAAAAAAAAAATGCCCCAGTTCAAAGAATTTAGTAGCTATGACCTGGTCTGATTTCTTTGCACCACCATATGTGAGCTCCGTAAGATATTCCACTTAAAAAAAAAAAAAAAGACGGGTCAAATAAGTGTGGGGAAAGCTATATAAAACAGGTCCCTCAGAACTCTACTCAGTACTCTGTAATGGCCTATATGGGAAAAGAATCTAAAAAAGATTAAACATATGTACATGTATAACTGATTTACTTTGCTGTATACCTGAAACTAACACAACATTGTAAATCAACTCTACTCCAGTAAAAATTTAAATAAATAAAACAGGCTCCTCAGAGAGTCATGGGCACCTTGGCCTAAGAGGCTCCTAGCACCCTGCAGTGAAAGAGCCTGCGACGCTTCATTTCACTTTGCCTTTCCAACATTGTTTGGCCACCAGACCCCTTTTTTTCATGTTTTGAATATTCCCAACCTGTGGAAGGAGTGTTCCAGGGAACATACTTTGAGAAACACTGCTCTAGATCCTGGTCCTGATGGGTGTCTTGTTCTAGCTCTACACCCATTCTCCTTCAGTAACCAGCTCCATTCTCTCCTCAAATCCCACAGCCAGGTTTCTGAAGGCCATCCTGGAGCCCACAGTCCCTTAATGTCCCCCAACATTCAGCATAGACTGAGAGGCAGTCTGCTGCCTTCACTCCTTCGAATTGTGAGGGGAGAAAAGACAGGGATCAACCACCTTCTTCCAGAGTTAGTGATGGTAACTCTACCTTCCACCCCCAGGGAGAAAAAGGTGATGCCGGCAACTCCATTGGAGGGGGCAGAGGGGAGCCTGGGCCCCCAGGGCTCCCTGGGCCCCCAGGGCCAAAGGTGAGTCTTTCCCTGGGATCAGTGCTCAAGGCAGATGTTTGCCTGTGGCCTTTATCCTTAGTCCATTTGGGGGACCCCGTGTCCTGGGCACCTTGTCTTCTCTCCTGCTCTGTGTGGTTTTTCCAGTGGATTCTAGAAAGGTCATTTGGACCAAGCTTCTGCTTCCAAGCATCTCTAGGGCAGATGGATGGTCCCATTGATTCAAATGGCTATGATGTAACTGAGTCAAGGACCAATGGCTACAAGGTCTTAAGACAACCAGAAAGGCCCCTAGCTTAGGCTCTAAATCAGTTGCAGGTCCGGGATCAGCTGGGCCCACCCGGTGCGGCACACTGCAGGGAGGTACGGTTGCAGCAGTGGGACAGCTACAAATGGGGCTGCCCACACTTTCCTTGCAGAGGGTGCAAGCTGCAGTGGTAAGACTTAGAGTTCTGCGAGGCAGATGCCTCCTGCATTGCTTGGTTTATTTTAACAGCACAGGGAAATAAGGGGGTGTCTTGCTTAGCTTATAAGGAAAGGATTAATTACTCTGCATGATCTGAGGCAGTACCCTCATTCATTCCACCGACGTTTATCAAGGCCTGCTGTGGGCTGTGAAGCTGCCGAGAACCTGCCCTCGGCTTGCCCACCATCTAGCAGGAGAAGCAAACCCACAATTCACAGGAATATAGTGTAGGGGGCCACAGGGAACCCCACAGACAGGCAAGATGAAGTGGCAGGAAGGGTCTCGGGCCCAGCGCCACGTTCCCACGTGACTGTGGTGAGAACAGAGCTTCCCTGGCACGAGCACCCAGCCTCCAGGGCATGCCCGGTGTTGAGTCTGTCCCGCTGACCCTGAAGGGCGTGATACCAGGCGCGTCTTGGGTCTCGATTTGGGGCTGGGGAAATCTGGTTACTCTTGTCCCTGTATCCTAGGACAAAAGCAAGGGAAAGCTAGAAGACTGTCCCCAGACTCATGTCCTCTTTCCAGGACCAGGCAAAATCTTGAATGAATGAAGTATTTGGAGTGGGCTACCTCCTACCTCTCCCTGCTCCTCCTGTCCTAGGCCTCCTGGGCACCCCGTCCCCACGTGCCCAGGCCCCTCCTGCTCCCCTCTGTCCTCCAGGCAGGACATGATGAGGTGTGTAAGAGTTCCAACCTCCAAAATGACCTGCCTCCTGCCCCTGGAGGCTGGTGGCAGTCCACAGTTAGGGGCCTCGACAGAACTGGGCACACGTGTGTTAACCGAGACCTGAGGAGGGCCTGGCAGCACAGAGCCCAGGGGAGGAAGGGAGTAGTCAGGGAGGGCTGCTAGGAGGAGGTGAGACCTGGGTGGGGCCCAAGGGTGGGAAGGAGTCAGACAGGTAGAATGGGGTGAGTTAGTAGAAGCCAGCAGGGAAAGAGACAGAGACCCAGAGACACTTACTAGAACATCAATAGCAAGGCCATCTTTTGCCCCTGAAGCAGCAGTCCCAGCTGCCCCGTGTGGCCTCACCCATCTCTCTCCTCTTGCCCAGGGGGAAGCTGGAGCTGATGGCCGGGCGGGCGCCCCAGGACGGCAAGGAGACAAGGTACAGGAGCCCCCAGATCTAAGAGCTGCAGGATGAGGGTCAGCTTGGGAGATCAGAGAGAGAGACAGAGTCTTGGCCGTCCTGCCGCTGGGCCTCCAGGCACAGGGCTGACGGCCATGACTCGTGCCTACCATCTCTCCTGGTCGCCTTGGGCTTTGGAGAACTTCCACTGAGACGGCGGCCAGGCAAAGGCAGGCCCAGGGATGGGACGCTGGGGCTGGGGAGAGACCCGGAGCCCCTGCTTCTGCTAGCTCCCACACCACTGGTAAAGATGGGGCCCCACTTCCCTCCAGCTACTCCCTGTGGATGGGTCAGCCTGGTGCTGCTGTGTCCTTCGCAGGTGCCCTGTGACTGAAAGGCTGTGGGCTTGGGGAGGTGCAGGGCAGGTTACCTGGAGGCAAGGCTCCATGAGCTGGGCAGGGTCGGCAGCAGTTGAGTTATATTAAAGGGTTTGTTTTCCCTTTATTTTTACTTTCTGTCTTGATTTTCTGAAATGTGTTCAGTGTTCGCGTTATCCCAGAGCAATTGGAACTATGGTTTGCTTTTCACAATTTACACCACGTTTCATTTATTCCCCACAGTTCTGCCCTGTTTCCAGCAGGAACAAAACCCCCCATCCCGACCTGCTCCAGGAGGCTGGGTGTTCTAATGCCTTGCCCTGGCCCCCATGTTTCCTCCCACAGTTTGGGTCTTTCACCAGCAGACAGGAACCGCCTGGGCTGTCCATGGCAATTGTCAACCACCCAGGCAATTAACAAAAACTTTCTGAGCCCTTGCTCCTCGAGCAGGATAGAAATAAAGAGGGGCAGAGGGTCTGGTCCCTGCTCCCGAGGAGGTGGCTGACTTAGGAGACCGGAGGGAGGTGGCCAGACGGACATGGGTGGAATCACCAACAACTAACATGGGACAGGAGGATCTTCCAGCAAGAAGCTGGAGGGAGCTGGGAGGGAGAGGGGCTTGCTGGCCGGTGGAGGTGCTTCCCAAGGGGTGGAGCCTGCACGGGATGCATAGAGAGCCCTGCGCCTCTCAGCCTGAGCTGAGCTGAGCCTCCTGGCCCCCTCTGAGTTCCCTAACACACGGCCCATCTGGGGACACCAGATTCTGTGTACCTGACTTTGTGCCCATTTCACTCCAATTTTGTTGTGCAACAGGGGGAGCCTGGAGCAGCTGGAGAACAGGGACCTGCTGGCCCCAAGGTACGTGCATCTCTCACCCAGAGTCATAGCACCACATCTCACCTCCCTGGGGTCACAGGGTGAAGTGGCTTGTCCCCGGGGCCTTGCGGGGGGGTGGGGGGCAGGGAAGAGCATTCTGGCTCCAAATAGGAGGTCTGACATTGCAGCCACGATTGCACTTAGTCTCCCCCAGGTCTGTCTAGTCCAGGGTTCTCACACGGAGTCTTCTCTTTGGTTCTGGAGCCCCTGGGCATCCTCTGAGAGTGTTTGTAGCCCCCAGTAGCCGCCCCAGCTGCTCTGCATCCCCTGTGCAGCCAGTGATGGTAGAGAGCTTGTCCTGAGGTCCCCGCTGGCCCAGGCCCTGGGTGCAGGTCTCCTTTGTCTCGTAGGGCTCCAAGGGCGAACCCGGGAAAGGAGAGATGGTGGACTACAATGGAAACATCAACGAGGCTCTCCAGGTGAGCGGGGCCTACCCAGAGATGAGAGATGTGGAGGTCCTCATGGGCCTCCAGGCTGTGTGATGACAGAGCTGAGCGTTCCAACACCCTGACTCATGTCCCCGAGGCCAGGCCGCTGGACAGAGCTTCCGGGGATTCATCCCCTTGCCTTCCCTCCTTCGGCCTCCCCCATGCAGCCCCCATGCACACGGCCCCCTCATTTGAAATCCAGATGGCCTGGCTTTGGGTCTGGGCCCAGCTGGCCAGGTATCCTGGCTCTGGGTCACTGAGAGCCATAACTGGGGCATCCTGGCGCCTGCAGGGTGCTGGCCCACTTGGGGTTCTAGGACCCCATTTCTCCCCCTTCACATGGTAGAATCTGTCTTCCTGGAACACATCTACCTTTGTGTCAATGTAATCATATTTCAGGTTCATAAGGTACCCTCGTTTAAACGCGGCGCTTCTCAACCTGGGCGCCGCTGACATTTGGGGCTGGGAAATGTTGGTTGTGGGGAAGCCTGTCCCGTGTGCTGGAGGGTGTTCAACAGCGTGCCTGGTCTCTACCCACTAGATGCCAATAGATGCCTCCCCACTCGCAGCTATGACAACCAAAATATGCCTCTGCACATGGCCAGATGTCTCCAGGGGGGCAAAATCACCCCAGATTGAGAACCGCCCCTTTAAAGGAAACTTTGTACCTATGTGAATCCATTTACAAGCTGTACAGTTATTTTTTTTAATGCCAAGAGTTGTCCCTCTAACTTATTTTGCCAGTGGTGCCGTGTTTTGTTCTATTGTGTCTGTCTGTTTCAAGGGAGGTACATCAGAGCCTTGAATCTGGGTTCTAGGAGAAGAGGGAAGTTCAAGGAAGGGTCCCAGTGAATGATTAGAAAGAATGGGAAGGACTTCCCTGACAGTCCAGTGGTTAAGACTCCGCCCTTCCACTGCAGGGGGCATGCATTCGACCCCTGGTCAGGGACCTAAGATCCCCCCATGCTGCGAGGCCAAAAGAAAAAAACAGAACAGAAGGAACAGGAGATGCTGCTTCCCTCCCTCTCTTGTAAAGAGAAAATTTGCAGTCCATTTTAGGGCATGTAGGAATCTGTTGTAGGATAGCATCTGGTGCTCGTGGGGTACTCCCTGTCCAGTGACTACAAGCCTCTGGGAGGGGAGAGGTGGGTGTGGGGTGGGGCTGGAAGGCACAGGTCCCCCAGGAGGATCTACCTCTACTGTGCTCCTTCAAGGGGCCCAGTGCCCACGTTTCCAGAACTGGGCCGAGGGGACCCTCCATGTGGCTCTTATTTGCTCTTCAACTGATCGCATGGTGTTGGTTTTTAGGAGATCCGGACACTGGCCTTGATGGTGAGTCCTCCCTCCTGATTTCCCCGGGCACTGGGCTGAGGGCTGGTGGAGGGCAGCCTGGAAGCCAGGACTGGAGGTCTCGCCTCCAGAAGGTTAGGGTTGACCCTGCAGTGCCGGGGCAGGGGCTGACCTGAGCCTGAGCAGGGTCATGGCTGTCGTCCGGAGTAGCTCTTCAGCGACCCAGTGGTGCACTCCTGTCACAGGACAAATACTGGTTCTCATTGCAGCTGTGTCAAGGAAATGGTGGTATAGAGGAGGATGTTTTTATGGTCTCCTTTTACCCAATCTTTTGCTAATAAATAAAGTGCATAATCCTAAAAAAATCAGTAGCGACCCTCTACCTTTCCCTCTTTCCTAGAAATCAATTTCATTCTCTGCATCTGGAAAACCAGTGAATTCCAAGCCTGGATTTTGCACGTGTGCCTACCAGTGACAGGCTTTCAGTAAATATTTGTAGCTAAAAGGATTACCACCAGGTTTAACTTCCAAGGCAGAGAAGAGAGGGGAGATCACAGCATTCTCAAACTAACTCACACTTTATGTCATTTAATATTTTTAGTGGCCATGTGCCACAGAACACACTTAGGGATGATGCAAAGCCAGAATTAAGCACCAGTCGTACAGTGCCCCAATCCCAGAAATTGGTATTAACCACATGATTCTGGAATCAGTGAGCTTCATTTGGAAACATTAAAATAGATTATTTGAAATAGCTCTTTGAAGCAAAACTTTCTGAAACTTTTTTTTTCATTTTAATAATCAACCTTGAATTAACCATTTACATACAATAAAATGCACCCATTTTAGGTGTAGAATTTGCTGAGTTTTGACGAATGTATAAACCCATGTACCCACCACCCCAATCACTTCAGAAAGTTCCTTCACGCATCTCAGGAGTCAGTCCCACACTTATGCCCAACCCTGAGCCACCACTGATCTGCTTTCTCTCACCAGAGCTTAGATTTGTCTTTAGTTCTAGAGTCTCTTATGAATGGAGTCACACAGTATGCAGGTGTCTGCATCTGGCTTCTTTTGCTCTGCATAATGTGTCAGGGTTTCTCCCTTCTATGGCATGGCCTGTGCAGTGCTCGGTTCTTTTTTCACTGCTGTGTAGTATTCCATTGTATGAATATGCCAGATGTTCAGCTGTTGATGGACATTTGGGTTGCTTCCTGGAGACATTTTTAAGTCACTGTCGGGGAAGGTCAGATTTATCTTCTTGGAGCCCAAGGAGCCCCCAGGGTGTAGACGGACAGGGAGGGAGAGGCTGATAAGCGTGGCCCTAGGGTCCCCGCCCCCCACTTTAATCCAGACACACTCAGTGCTTATCTGCCTTACACTGTGGGGTCTCCATATTTCCTCTGCAAACAAAAGTGTTCCTGCCCCTGATGAAATGTTTGGAAATGACCAGTCTCTATAAACCAGCCTCCACATATACTTCTCTGGAGACAGGCCACCCCTCCTCAGTTGGAAACTTCTCCCACGTGTCTTTCTTTTCTTTTCTAGGGGCCCCCTGGTCTTCCTGGGCAGATTGGCCCACCCGGAGCTCCAGGGATCCCAGGCCAGAAGGTAACACTGTCTTGACAAGGCGGGTGCAGACCCTGCAGAAGCCCTGCGTGTGTCTCTGAGCGCGGGACCCCATGGCTGCCCCTCATCTGTGTCCTTCTCATGTTCCCAGAGCCACCACCTCACTCCAGCCTTCAATTCTCCCCAAAGCTCCAAGGCACCGCCTGCCCACCGACATCACCGCCCCTTCACTCCCCCCATCCTCAGCTCTGCCTTTCTTCCCTCGCTGTCTGTCTTGGGCTCCTGTAATTCACAGACCCCTCTGATGTAGTGGGGCCGGGTCTCGACGAGCCCCCGCCCCAGCCAGAGCCACAGCAGGGACCCAACCCGCCATCAGGGCACGTAGCGCTTGAGCCCCTCCCCAATCTCACCCCTCCCTCGATTCCTGCCTTTGCTCCCTTTTATCCTCTGCCCCCCACCCCTGTGATTTTTCCCAGAAGGCCAACACATTTGCCCCTCTGTCCTCTGCTCATGAGGTCCTCTGCCCTCAAGTCCCTTCCGGTTTTCCCTACCTTTCAAAGTCTTCATATTCCAAGCCCAACTTGAAGGCCACCTCCTCCCTGAAGCCTTCCCTGATCTATCAGGAGGAATTCACTGCTCTTTCCTCTCAGCTTGCCTTGGGGATGCAGCTGGTTGTTTACCTGGCCTCAAAGCAGAGGCCACACCTCCTTTATCTCCCTCCCTGACTTAAAGAAGGGACTCGGGTTGATGTGAAGTGAAGGGAGCGCCCTGTGTGGGGGCCAGGACTGGAAGGCTGAGTTTGGGGGGGAGGGAGAACAAGGAGGCAAGCACCCCTCCTGTGGAGCGTCTGGTGCAGGGTTGTGGCTAAAACATGGACTGTGGAGCCGGAATGCCCGGACTGGGATCCAGTCTTCACTAACTCCAGGCCTTGGGCTCACAACTCTGCACTGGGGTCCTCACCTCCAAAACAGAGTCAGTGAAAGTACATACCTTCTGTGTGAGTGCAGAGGATACCTGACGTAAGAAGTGCTGTATAAATAACAGTTACTGTTCTTCTCCGGTCTGAGAGTGACCTTTAGCTGTTCTGGCTACAGGGGGAGATTGGACTGCCCGGCCCTCCTGGACACGATGGGGAAAAGGTAAGGACACTCCCAGACAAACCTCTGAAGATAATCTTTGCCCTGGGGGGTGAGGATACAGAAGGCTCTGGAAGGGAGCCTTGTGGGGAAGGGAGAGGGGAGGGGAGGCCCGCCTCTGGAAGCCCAGCCGAGCCCCACTGCTGGCCCCAGGGGGAGCCAGGCCAACCCACGCTGGGATGGGCTGCGGCCCCTCAGATTCCCACCGGGAGCTGGACAGGTTCTTCTGGCTGGTCCAATCAAGCGCCAAAGAGCCGAGTCCTTTGTACCCTCCCCCTCCCCCCGCCATTCTTCCTTGTTCTTGCCCCTCGTTTCTCCATCAGTGCATCTAATACGTGTTGTTGATCTTTTCTCGAGGGACCTCGAGGCAAACCAGGAGATGTGGGCCCTCCTGGTCCCCAAGGCCCCCCAGGAAAGGCTGGGCCTGCAGGACTGAAGGGAGAAGATGGCCTTCCGGGGAACCCAGGAGAGAAGGGGGAGAAAGGGGAGATGGGGCAGCCAGGCCCACCGGTGAGTGCCGGGGCCCACCCAGCATGATGTGGCTGTGCGCTGTGACAGCTGCAGCTGGAAACCGGAGCCGGGAGCTGGGGAGAGGGCGCTCACCCATTTTCCCTTCAAGCTTTACTTTATAAAGGCCAGTTTCCCGCCTCAAGAGACCTGGGTCTTGTTCTGTCATCTCCTATCTGTGTCCGCGGGAAAGTCACTGAACCTGGCAGAGCCTCGGTTTTCTCATCTCTAAAATGGGGATGATTGGAAATTCCCTGGTGGCCTAGTGGTTAGGATTCCAGACTTCCACTGCCGTGGCCCAGGTTCAATCCCTGGTCAGGGAGCTGAGATCCCACAAGCCGTGTGGTCAAGGGAGGGGGAAAACAAAAAAGAGATTTCTTAGCTACAACACCAAATGCATAATTCATTAAGGAAAAAAATTGATAAATTTGACTTAACAAAAAAGAATAAAATTAAAATAGGGATGACAGTGCTTTCCCTGGGTACCTCACTGAGTTGTTGGGAGTATAAAACTGCCTCTTGGGACAGCATACCTATACCCAGGAGAGTATAGGGACAGCCCTAGACCCAGGAGAGGTACAAACAAGGGACCTTAGCCCAGGCCAGCCAGGCCTCTGGCTTGACTTGGGAGCCTTCTCTGGGCTTCATGGTTTCCAGGCAGCACCCTAGACACCTGCCCTTGGAGGAAGGTGGCCCCACGTGCATGCCACGGCAGGTCCCAGACCTCAGTGTGATGACCTTGCCCTTGACTAACAGAGATCTTTTTCGATCTGTAGGGTCTAGACGGCCCAACTGGGGAGAAAGGAGAACCAGGTGACCAAGGGAGACATGGAGCGACCGGATTGCCTGGCCCAATCGGGCTCCCAGGATTCACAGTAAGGCGAGGGGGCCGAGCATCAGGGTGGTCAGCAGGCCTCTGCCGATGAGGGCAAGCAAGCGGGATGCCCTCCCTGAGGTCACCTGCCTGGCGGGTACCTGGTGCTGTGATGAAGCTGCACTGACCGCCAGCCTGCCTGTCCAGCCTGGGGATGGGAGGGTCCTCTGGATGAGCAGCTACTCCCTGAGGGGCAGTTGGGTGTCAACAGGGGTTCCAGCGCCCTCCGCTCACAGCGTGGTGGCCTCCATCTCCAGGGGCCAGCATAGTTCCAAGGTGCTAGAATCTTGGACTCGGAATTCTCCTCTTAGAAGTGGAAAGAACCTCAGAGGTCAACCAGTCCCACCTCTGACCCAGTGCAGGATACCTCGAAGGCCACTGACTGTGGCTGCCCCACTCAGCTGGGACAGGCAGGCAGCTGGTAGCCTCCTGACATGTCCCCTCCAAGCTGGAGGGAATGCTTCTGCTGTGGTGTGAGGTACCCTCATCAACCGCCCCCCACCCCCATGGCCCTGGCTCCGCTTCTAGAGCCGTATTCACTTTCTGTAGCTGCGTAACAAGTCACCACAAATTCAGTGGCTTAAAACAACGCACTCGTATTATGGCACAGCTTCCATGGGTCAGGGGTCCAGGCCCGTCGCGGCTGGGGCCTCTGCCCAGTCAGGGTGCCATCCAGCTGCAGCCCCATCTACAGCTGGGGTCCTCTTCCAAGCTCGCTGCTACTGGCATAATTTTCAGTTCCTTCTATAGTAGCAATGAGTCCCTCAGCTCCTAGAGGCCACCTACAGTTCCCGGCCACTCGGCCTTCCCCATAGTAGGCAGATCATATTATAGCAGCTTGCTTCTTCAAGACCAAGGCCAGCAGGCGTCTCTCAGTGCATCCTAGCAAGACAGGTGTGTGTGTGTGTGTGTGTGTGTGTGTGTGTAACATACTTGTAACACAGTCTTAACCTATCATTTGTATATCATGTATAATTTGTAACATAAGCTTGTAACGTAATTACAAGAGCGACGTCCCATCATCTTTGCCAGTAGGCCCTATTCTGCTGGTTAGAAACAAGTCCCAGGTCCATCCTAGGGCCTCTGCCCTGCAGGATCCATACAGAATATCAGCCTCTCTGAGGTTCTTACTAGAACCTCAGATTCAGGAAGTCAGTGATCACAAGTCCCCTGCCCTGGCCTTCGTCCTTCAGGCCAGCTACCTCTGCAGCCTCCCAGGTGGTCCTTGCTGATATCTAGGCCTAGTCTAGTACTGGTCAGGTTTGTCACAGATTTGAGGGTGTCTCTCCCAGGATCCCCTGAGTGCTGGCACCCACGCCATGTTGTTTTGTGCCCACAGGGAGAGAAAGGAGAACCTGGGGAGAAGGGTGACCCAGGAGTGGAGGTAGGTTGTGCCTGCTCTGCGGCTTGTGTCACAGGGATTATTTGACGGGGACCTTGTCACACCACAGTCTCTCCAGTGTGCACATCACTTCCGTGCTCTAGAAAGAAACTCACAACTGCCTGGCACAGGAAGAGTGCAGGAAGCTGAACATTTCCTGAGCACCTCAGGGGTCAGCAAGGACCCACAGGTCTTCTCCGCGGTCTTCCCATTCATCAAGTCCCTCAGCGGTATTCACACAGCACCTGCCATGTTCCATTCCAGTGCTAGAGCCTGGAGACAGGAAAACAAGACCATCCCTGTGCAGCAAACAGTCCCCAGTTGTGGGCACTAGAATGGCAGCAGCTCAGGGAGTCGGGTGAGCACCGCAGAAGATGGGTCATTGGAGCAGGGTCTCGAAGACTCTGTAGGAGTTTGCCTAGAAGCTCCAGAGGTAGGGTTTCCAGAGAGAGGCATTATTCTTTTGAGAAGTGTGGTGGTTAAGGGAACAGTGGAGTGAGAAGTAGTCAGGATGGAAGCCAGCTTCTCATAACAGGGGAGGGAATCAGGCTTAGGGTAAGAGCCAGGAGAGCAACAGAGGTCAAGGATACGTGAGGGAGAGGCTATTTGGTGGAAGGGCCTGGGCCACCCAGACACTACCACAGAGAGAGACCACCAAACCCTCGGTCACCCTTCAGTGTCACCAAACCCCATCTGCATTTAGTAACACAGACCTGATTATACAACATGTATGTTATTTATTTGGATAGGCTCCTAAAGAAATGCTCTGAAACTCAGGAAAAGCATAATATGCAAAAATGTTCCTTCCAGATGTATTTAAACTAAAAATTGGAAACAGGCTGCATTTCTAACAAGAAGGAAATGATTAAATAACTTACCACAAAATACTAATGGTAATAATAGTCCCCATGCTGGAGAGCGTTCCTTACGCCAAGCCCTGCTCCAAGCCCTGGCTAGGTAGGAACTCATTTTTATTCCAGTCAATGAATAACACATCAACATTGAAACGAGGCTTGTAGGGAACATACAAAAAACAGAAAAGGGGGTTTTGTGTTAAGTGAAAAAGAGAAGAGAACCAAATTTTATATATATATATGATATCATCGTAAGTATAGACGTACATTCAAATACATTTTATGCATCAAAAGAGTAGTAGAAGGAAATAAAGCAAAATATTAGCATTACTCAGAGATCTTTTTTCTTCTTTCAGTTCTCTTTATTTACTAATATGTTAATAAATTTGTATTCCTTTAAATTTTTTTATTTTTAAATTATCATACAGTAAAATGATAATATGGTAAAACTGACTTTTTGACAGTTCTATGAATTTTAATACATGCATAGATTTATATAACCTCTACCCCAATCAAGATATATGAAAAATTACTTGTTTATAATAAGAAAAAAAGCAGTAAACTTTTGTTTTTAAGAAGGTAGAGTTTCCAAAGATTGAGTTCCCTGCAAGGAGACAATAGTATTTATGGAGTTAAAAAGCCCACCTGTCCAAGCGACAGCAGGGATTCCCTGTCTGCCCAGTGCAGAGGCTCCCTTTATAGTCACCTGGCAGAGGGTCCCCATGCTGGCCACACTCCAGGGGATTCTGTCCCTGGGAAGGTGAGGTGCCCAAGGAGAGTTCAGAAGCTGAAATGGGGGGACCGGCTCAGAAAAGAGCAGGCGGGTCTCCTTCCTGCCTCTTGGGTGGCTGACTGTGGAGAAATGGATGTCCATCTTCACCAGAGACAGAATCTACCCTGCACAGCATGCTCCGTAGAGAGGGTTCCTTCGTGTTCTCTGTCCAGTCCGAATCTCTTTGACTTTAACCTGCCCTCAAGAGAAACGGAGACCCACAGTCCCCATCCTGTCTGTTACAAACCTGGGGAGCTTGAGGAATATTCTTCGGAAGCATCTCAGTCTCCCCCCATTCCAGACAACCAGTCTCTCTTCCTTTAAGCTAAAGGTCTCAAACCCAAATGCCAACCGGGACCAGGCATGCAACAAATGAATGCAAGAAGTCTGGGTTAAAAATAATAGGGAGTGGTGAGGACTGAGGTAAACCGAGGAACTCAAGCCCCAGCCGGAAGGGAAAGCTCTCATTGAGCTCCAGGCAGCTGTTGCCATGCACGAACAAGAGCCTGAGGCGGCCAGATTTTCTGGTTTTTCAAAAACATCCAGAAGAATAGGCATTTTGAGCATGTTTCATGGCAACGTTTATTTGTTTTTTCGAAACACTGTGCAGGCTAATGAGGTGCTATGAGTTTCTGACCTGTCCTCGGCCTTTGTTTGGGAGACTGTGTGCTGGTAGTTCTGTCCTTCGGCCCTGCAGTCCCTAGCCGGACCCCAGGCTATGGCAGAAGGCAGGAGCCCTTAGAGTATAACAGGGGGTGGGCTAACTGTCTCCCTTTGGCTTCTAGGTTCCTGGGCCACCAGGGCCAGAGGGACCTCCCGGACCTCCGGTAAGTTTGGAGGGCTTGTCTATGTTTCAGTCCACTGTGATTAGGCCCCTAACATCCCCTCCCCATGGCAGTCACTGGGCTTAACCTCAACCTTAGGTCATTATCACCTCCTTCCACGGTGGGATTTTCACATCCACAAGCCCCTCCCTGCTCCTCTTCCCCCCCACCTTAAACAGGCATCGTCTCTGTGACACCAAGGAGCCTGGGCAGCGCCCGGTTTCCCAGAAACAGTTGACTGGCATGGCAGCCCCGAGGTCTGGTCCCTCCTTGCAGGAGTAGGAGTCATTCTGTCACTCGGTTCTGCCCTTTGCCATCAGACATCTGCTCCTCTCCCTCTTTTATTCCTGCTAACCAGCCAGCAAGAAGACCAGGATTAAAATAGAAAATGACCCATTTAAAACCAGCCCCACTGGATTGGCCTTTCCGTGGTTACAGATGATAAGGCACCTTTAAAGGGACCCCTGTGCATTGGGCCTCGAGGGTCCCCAAGCATCCTAAACCAACAGATGCTGGTCCTTGCCTCTGCCAGGCTCAGAGTCCCCATGGTGATGGGCCACCCATTGTCATTGGTACAAGTAGTAGTAGTCGTAGTAGTAATGACAGTAGCCAAGGTATATTGAAACTTACTATGAGCCAGATGCTACTCTAAGCACTTTGCACATATTATTTAATTTTTGCTGTGTTCCCTCTGAATTTTGCCTTCATGAGACTCTGAATCTTCTCTCATGAGTCAGCTGTGAGGGCCACAGAGAGATTCTCAGTCCCTGGCTGGGGAAGCCTGGCTCAGACCCCACCCCAGGAAGTCCTAAGGTGGACCCCCCCTTAGCATTCCCTTCTACCTCTCCTGGGAAGGGGCCCCAGGCCAGGCTCTGTACTTTTTTGTACAGGGCCCTTGCTTTTTTGTGGTCCAACCTGTGGACAAGGAAGTCGACTTAACCAGAGATGCTTTGTTTTGATTCCAAATGCAGGGGCTCCAAGGCATTCCTGGACCAAAGGTAAGAAGAGATCACGTGACAGGTGCTGGGGGAAGGGGGTGGGGGAAGGCGCTGTGTCAGTGAAGGCAGAAAAGAGAGAAAATGCTTCAGAGACAGGGGACCCAGCTGACCCCTTCCCTAAACGAAATCATGTGACACTTCAGCCAGTGGGGTACCATTAGGACAGAATAAAGTCCTATGGTCCCGTTAACATCCATCACTGACACTGGGCAGGCTTTGGATTCAGAATTTTCCCATCCATCAATCAACCCTACAGAGTGACAGGTTAGATTCTTAGCCAGTGATGAAATCCTTTTTCCATGTAACCTGCCCCAGACCCTTCACTCACCCTGAAGTATAGGTGGCAGACAGAGGGTGGCATAGCAAGGGACCCCTTCCCAGGACCAAGCCCACTGGACTCTGGCCTGGGACTCTCCCAGCTCCCACCCGCAGCGTTGCAAATGGATAAGAGGGGCTGGAGGCTGCTGGCGTGACAACAGCCCTTGTCTCCTACACTGGCGTTCTCCAGGGGACTCTTAGGCTCTTTCCTCTCCTGGTTAGTGTGGGAGCCTCAGAGCTCCAGCGGTGGCATTTCAGGCATTCGCCATCCAGTAGCTGCAGGGTCCCAGTTTTTCTGCTATGCAAATGGTCGTCTATGCCAAAGCCTGACCTGAAACTGACCTATGGGTTTGTCTCTACTCCTGCCATCCCCTTTCCCTTTGGGGACCTCAAAGTTACCACAGAGATACTCTGTAGTAACTGACTGTAACTGAGGCAGAGCCAGGCTAAGAATTCAGCAATTCTTGGAGTCCCCGGCCTGCCACCCCTGGGTCAGCCACCTCTACCTCCTCCCTCCTCTATCTGCCATCCCTCCCCACCACCCATCCCCATCTGCAGGACCCCAGAATGCAAGAATGAGTCGTCTGGGCCATGCCCTTCTGTGATCTCGCCCATCTCCCTTTCCTTCAGGGGGAAGCAGGGCTAGATGGAGCAAAAGGAGAGAAGGGCATCCAGGGAGAAAAAGGAGACCGAGGTCCTCTGGGATTACCCGTAAGTATCGTGGACCCGGCAAACTGGTGTGAGGGGCCTGGCTGGGCGGTCCTGAGGAGGTGCTGGGCAGGGCCCTGGGAGAAGGCCACTGGAAAACTCGAGGTTCTAAAGTTCTGAGCATTCCAGAGCTCCGTGGGGTTCTGCTTTCCCACCTGGACAAGACCGTAGGCTCTAACTCTCTTACCGAGGGCCTCCTCTGGGCTGGCCCTGGCCTAGGTTCTGGAGGTATGTGAATCTGAATACGACAAAGCCCCCCACCCCAAGGAGGACCCAGCTGGGAGCCAGAAGGGGCCTGAGAACAGCCTTAGGCCCTACTTGTGCTTGTCTGAGGCAATAAAAATCTGCCCTTATTGGGGCCAAGCTTAGAGGACTTGGGAGCACTGGGACAGTAGAGTATTCATGTCTCTCCTACTTTCCCAGGCAGACCCCAAGAGAGCCCCTGCTCTCTGCTCTTAAGCACTGGCCACAGCAGAAAAGCTTGCAAAAAGTCAGATCCTCCGGTCCCAGCAGGCTAAGGCCACTCACATCTTGGTTCCCTGAGATCTCTGATCTCAGCTAAAGGCCCCAGGTCAGGGCGGGGGCTGCTCAGAAGGCGTCTGCATCTCCCGATGTCTGGCCTGGACTGGGCGAATTCCTTTGCCCCAAGCTCCAGTGACTGATGATCTCATCACTGCCTCACCTGTCTCCAGGTGAGCGCATCCCACCACCCATCCCGGAGCCCTGGGCTCCATCCTCCCTCACATCCCAGTGAGGCTGGCACTCTTTTCTTGTTTGTTTTTCAAGATCTGGAAGGGACTTTAGGATTCCCTGTAATCATTTTATTGGTGGGTCCAGAGAAAAAATTGAGTCACTTGAGGTCACATACGAAGTCGATGGCCTGGCTACACCAGAGGCTGCTCCTTCACTGAGGCCACAACCTTGCAAAGGCCTCTTTCCAGCCACTGAGGCTTCCTCTGTGCTGGGCACAAGGCCAGTTCCTACCCCCAGGAAGCTGTAAAAAGCAGAGGAATGATGGGAAGCCCAGATGCCCCAGCTTGGCAGGGTTTGAAGGTCTGGTTAATGTAATCCCAGCAACCAAAGAGAAAGAACAAAAGGTATGATTACACCTCATTAGTGCATCAAATGTGGGAATATTTAAGGAGCTGATTCGCTTGACAGACTACAGTAAACTGATGACTTTAGCAGACACTTTCCCATGTCTTAAGCTGTGTCCAAAATGACTAAGTACTCTTTACTGTTAAAGCGCCTTCCTGCCCACCCCCACTCAACCACAAACCTCTCCTTGTTCACCTTCATGGCTCCAATAACCCTAGTGAACATTGGGGAATTCAGTCAGGGATTGAAATGAAGAGCATACAGGTAATATAAACAAAGAAAGTGCCAGACGAAAGAAAAAGTACCCAGTCTATCTTTGATTTTTCAACTTTTGATAGAGACATGGGTACAGAGAAGTGCTTTGGCTAGCTTAAGAAAACAACAGAGCAAGCAGTGTTCATAAAGGGCAACTAATGTGGACATCAGACGGACAATAAGGAGTGGTGGGGACTGTGGTAACAACCCTACTTAGTTCAGCGGACTGTTGCTTTGGGGGAATGAGGGTCCAGTATTTCTGCATATTCTAATTTTTCTAAGGAAGCTACACATCTGGCATTTGATGGGGTATCTCCTCATTTTCTAATATTAAATCAAAATTATCTGCAGTACTGCAACCCATAGAAAAATATGTCAGTGGCCCACGTATGGCCCCCAAAACTCCAGTTCATGCCCTCTGCGCCAGGCCTCTCAAGATAACTCAGTATTAACGCTGCATAGACAAAGTACATGGATGTTTAGCTAAAGTTCTGTTTTTAGGCTTCCCCTCAGTGTTTTACTTCATAGAGCAGCAGCCTGTGTTTCCAGGCACATCCTACTGCGTTCCTCTTATTTGCCCTACAGAAGTGGTTCTCAGTGCTGGCTGCACGTTGGAGTCCCCTGGAGCTTTCCAAGTATGCTATATTCTGTTTGAATTGGGCTGGGGTAGGGCCCAGGCATCTGTATTATTCAACATCACCCCAGGAGATTCTGACATTGTAGCTGGGTTTGATAACCACAACTCTCTAGGCCATAAGCAAGATTGGTCCCAGAATTATGTGGCCCTAAGACTGAGAAGCGAGGCCCTGTAGGGTCCTGCTACCCAACACCCTTCCCCCAGGAGGAAGCAGCTTCCTGCCCTCCCTTACCTGGGGGTATTCCCCCACCTTTAAAATCCTGAGGCCTAGGCTCGTTTCTGAGGCTCAGTTGGAAGCAGATTTCAAGAACTCAGTCCTTATTGGCCTAGAATGTCCCAGTTGCTCTCTCCCTGCTTTGTCTTATTGGTATCATCAGATAATTGTACCCCTGTTCTCCTAGGTGGGTTGTAGGGGCAGCATCACAGCCCAGCATGGGGACAAGAACTCTAATTCCCACTGTATATATCACTGGATGCTGCATAGTGAGTGGGTCTTAATAGCATCCCACCTGCCAGACAGTTCATTCCAAGGGATACATGGCCTTAGACCTCTGTCCCAGTCAGCTGCCCCTAAAGGCTTTTTCTATAAAAGAGGCCTTGTCTGGGATAATATGAATGGACTGAGTTTGTGTTAAGCTTTGCAAACTGTAAAATGCCAGAGAAATGTCAGGCATCATTAGTATTGTCATTCAAGGCCCCAACTCCTCCCACCTAGCTGAAGTTGAAGTAGGCCAGCTTCTGCCCAGATTTCAAAGCTGGATGCTGTAATTCAATGCTGAGCCTTCTGGGGTCCCCCAGTGTGGCCTCGCCTCAACAGTATGCAAAAAAGACTGGGAAGACCACCCTCACCTGGGCCCCCCCTGCCATGTAGGCGTGTCTTCCCCAAGTAAGACTGGTCCCGGGAAGGATGCACTAGCTCTGGTTCCAGACACCTCTCCATGAATTTACTTTCTATATCTCTTTCCCTGGAACACTGCAATCCCTTGGAAGAGAGGTTTCTGAGAGAGGATGAAAGGAGAGAGGGGAGCAGGGGGCACAGAGGATCGGAACGGCCACCTGCACTGATCTCCACCCAGCTTGCTCAGCAGTTGGCCACACTGCACTCAGTGTCTCCATGTTTTTTGTTGGTTTTCATGTGAATACATTACCTGTCCTCCCAAGCTTATTTCTCCCATTTTGTTTAATTACCAGCATTTATGTCTGTCCAGAGTCACTGCTTCACTCACCTCTTCCCTCCCTGGTCCCTTTTTCTCCCTCCCATTCCTCCCTTCCCCTTCTTTTGGTCAAACTGTTCCCTTTGTCCAGGGAGCTTCAGGTTTGGACGGCAGGCCTGGGCCACCGGTGAGTGTCACTTCTCCATTACCCCTCAACCCACCCACCCCCTGGCCTGTAATCCCTTTCGCCTGTCCTGCTGTGGCCTCATTTCTTCAGTGAGGCATGCCTTATCCCACCACCACCACCAGAAAGTGCCATCTGTGCTCAGTTCAGAAGTGCTTATTCACGCCTCTTGACCAAAGACAGCCAGCCTCCATCTAAATTTCCCTGTCTGTAGAATGCACCCAGGGTTCTCAAATCTGAATTTCCGGAACACTGGCTGTGGGGTGGGAGGCTGCTCCAGCAGCAAAGACTCCGTTCCTAAAGGAGTGCTGACTTCAGCCTGGGACCCCAGCCCTAGGGGTTTGGGCTGTGACTCATCCCCACCAAACACAACAGTGTCTGTATGTGCCCGTCATGCTGTGTTGTCTTCACGCTGTGAGCTCTGTCCATCTCCTGTCTGCCCACAAGGGCTTTCTAGTCCTGTGCAGCCACCAGTCTGGTGTGTATGTGGTGGGGACCGCACTGAGGGGTGAGGGCAGGTGTAGCACTTAAGAGCACACGGGCGAGTCCCAGCTCAGTGTTCTGATGGCATGTCACAACCACACCTTTCACTTCCTGTGGCACCACAGCTGCCCCCCACCACAGTCCCTTTCTTTCCATCCTCCTCGCACCTAGCACACCTTTCCCAGGTGGCCAGTCTGGGCTAGGGGCATTATCTGTGGCTGGAATCACGAGAAACCATGACTTTCCTCTCAACTAGTTATTTCCTTCATATTGGACAGAGGGGAGCAGTGCACATTCATATATTCTGTCCCCTTTGGACCTGAAGGGTTTTTTTCTTATAAAATCAGTAACACAACCTTAAAGGAAAATGTTTATGGGAAGAGTGATCCTACCCTGCCAGGACATTTACTGGACACTTCCTAGGTGTCGGGCCCAGCACCAAATGTGTGACATGTATTCATCCATTCTAACCTGGCCGCAACCTAGGAAGCAGACACTCATGCTATTATTCCCATTTTACAGGTGGGAAAACTGATCCTTAGAGAAGCCAAGAAACTTTCCAATATCACAGTTGTAGGCCTTTGAGGCAGGACTTGAAGCTGGCCAGTGACTCCAGAGTGCTATTCTGATACTCTGTCAGTCACAGATGTCCACAGCTTTCCTTCTTCCCTCAAAGGAGCCACCGAGAACATCTTATTCTCTTTTTTATTTTCATGTAAAGTAAATCAGCCTTTCCTCACCTTGCTCCTGCCCTGCCTATCACAGCTACATTCGGAGCACCACCGGGAACCGCCCACAGGCCCAGGCCCAGTCCTCATGTCCTAAGCAAGAAAATATAATCACCGAGGCAGAGCAATAGGAAGCTTGGAAATATAGACTCCGTCTAGTCGGGCCATAAATTAGGAACCTGGAGAAGACGTTTAATTATGCCTTAGCAAGCCCTGCTGTGTCTCTAATCAACACAGCTCTGATGCTCCAGCTGCCCCCCTGGGCTGCAGCCCCGAGTCAGGAGTGCTTAGGACACACCCCCCTGCCAGGCCAGTGTCAGCAGACATCCGAAGCATACTAATCCACTCTCCAATCCAGCCTGTTCCCTAGGGCCTGGGATGGGGACAGAAGGCCTGGCCGGAGGCTGAAGGCCAGGGCCAGGGCCCGCAGTGGGGGTGGAGTGGGCGGTGGCTGAATGACCCTCCCACGCCTGCCTCTGTGTGTGCGTCTGCATCGGTCTCTGTGGCATGAAGACCCTCCCGCTGCATGTGGAGCTGCGTCAGCAAAGGGGTGCCAGCCCCCGGCCTCCCCACCCCTGGGATGGCGTCGACTCCCTCCCGAGCGCCTCTGGGAGCAAACTAAGCAACTGTTCTGCCGTTTTCAGCCTTGGCAAGCTTGGTTGTGAAACCAAAGGGGTACCTTCCTCAAATCTGGCTCTGAGGCAGCGGGGAGGCACTCTCTCCCTGAGGCCCCCAAACCCAAACAGGAACGCGGCCCAGTCCAATGACCGCCCTGAACAAGCCTGGCCTCGCCAACCCTGAAAACTGGGCCTCTGGACCTTGCTCATCTCCAGGTGTCGTGCGGGGCTCCCGGGGCTCCCCTCGGCGTCAGGACCCTCACCTCTGCACTCTTTCACCTCCCCAGGGTACTCCAGGACCAATTGGAGTTCCAGGCCCAGCGGGACCAAAGGGAGAGAGGGTGAGTGCTCAGCGAGCCGGGAGCCTGGACCACCAGGACAGGGGGCCCTGCTGCCCCTCTCAGCCTCGGGTCCTCAGCCCCTGCGCCTGCAGCCCACAGGGCCACCACGTCAGCCAGCCATCTCGGCCCCCATCTGTTCCTCCTCGACCCGGCAAGCACCTCATCCATGTCTTCTCTGGATGACCCTCCCAGCCCATGGGGTGGCAGGCAGGCCTGAGGTGCTCATTTTGTAGCTACAAGTGGACAGAGACTTGGAGAGCTTCCTTCACTCAGCTTCCGGTCACCTGGCATCGGTCCCAGGTGCCACACAAGGCCCCAGGCCCTGCTATCGCCGGACACGCCTCAATTTTGCAGTGATTTAGGGATACGGCATGAAACAGAGTGCCAGGTGGTGTTAGAAAATCTGGGAGACATTGAGAAGCCAGGAGACCTGTGCCTCAGGCCGGCTGCCAGGGGTCACGTCTCCCGCAGCCAGGGCGGCGGGCGGAGGCAGGAGAGTTCCGCGCGTCAGCTCCTCCCAGCCTGGCCCGGTTTCCGCACCGCGGGGCCTGGGGTCGCTGGGGGCCCGGCTTGGGTGCTGGACCTCTGAGTGGCCGTCTGCTGGGCTCTCTGCCCGCGGGAGCAGCTCTCCCTCTTGCCGTCTGCCGCCAGCGGCTCTATCGCTATGCTCTCGGGTCCCACAGCTGGCAGAGGGGAGGGAGGAGAGGGTGGGGAGCTTCTGGAGAGAGGCGTGGGCTTCCCTGAGATCACCAGCCACTTGGGGAACCAGGGTGGCTGCTCCGAGGAGTGACACAGCTTCGAAGAGAAATCAGAGCTCTCTTCCTCTCCCCGTTCTCCCCCGTCTCCCTTGTCCGTGCCCGTTTCCTGCTCCTTCTCCCCACCGCTTCTGCCTCTGGCCAACTTGTACCCCCACTGTCCAGTCCTTCCTAAGCGCGTTGGGGGGCCAGGCTCTGTGGAGGGAGGGTGAGAGAGGCTTCCAGGCCCCCTCCTCGGGGCAGAGTCCTCAGCAGTCACCCCACCCGCCCTCCGCCCAGCCCTCGCTTCCTTGTTAGGGGGCGGGGGTGTCTCTTTGAAGAGACTGGAAAGGTTTCCCAAGTTTTGTATGAAAACAGAAAATGGCTGACGGGAGGTTGTTACCATGTCAGAGAAGGCTTATGTGTTCTTTCTCCGGTTTCAGGGCAGCAAAGGCGACCCTGGGATGACAGGACCAACGGGAGCAGCTGGGCTTCCTGTAAGTCTCGTGGGCTCAGAGGCTGCTCTCCACCTGCCCTGGTCGCCCCCCCAGAAGCACTGCCAAAACAGAACACCCAGAGCCTGGGGCAGAAAATCCAGGGCCAAGCGACAGTGCTCAGTTCTGTGGCGGGGGAAGCAGCCGACAGCCACTAGCCCATGCTCTAGAACTTCCCCGCCGGGCACCGCTAGAGGCGAACCCTGGCGCACACGGCCCCTGTTAGGGAAGCACGTCCTCAGCCGTGTGCACCGTCTAACTGGCTGTAGCAAACACAGATGAGCACCTTCCACTGCAGGGCTCTGTGCTCAAGGCAGCGGGGGTCTCACAGGTGAATGTGCCACGGCCCGTACCCTCGAGGAGGGACCGAACCAGGTCCAGATCACCATGGGGCAAGGAGACGTCTCCTGAGACGGGCAGCTTCCCACGGGACTGGCTTTCCATCTGCAGCCGACGTCTCCTTGCTGGCTTATAGAAGTCGGCTGCCTACAAGAGCCAGGACTTTGGTTTCCCACCCGCTTGAAGGTCATACACTTGTTCGTGGGTTCCATGCTCGGCTGTGCTTTGGCTAAGTAGGCACCTCCGGCCAGTCTTTACCTTGTGCCCACTCCCCAGCTAAAGACAAGGGGAGCAGCCGGCACCTTGAAAAGAGGGGCTCGGGAGCTTTGGAGTCATTTTTCTAGCAAGCAGCTGGTGGGAGAGCCGTGCAAATACCTGTCCTTCCAGGAGAGGTCTCTGCGCCCAGACCGTGTCCTCAGCATGAACCATCTAGAAGAACTCAGCCACAGGCCAGGGCATTGGTGCAGAGTGAGAAAACCAGAACTGTGTTTGACTTTACCCATAACTTATTATCTGTCTCTAGGTCAAGTTCCTTGAGCAGTTTTCTCCTTTGTCCCCCTTCTGTAAAATGGGGATAAGTAAGCCTGTCTCTGATGAATTAGGCACCGGTAAAGAGCTTTATGAGCCTGGAAGGAAGGACTGTACGGCCATCCTGTGCCTTCTCATTAACCTGTCTTCGTTTCTGATTTACTGCAGGGTTTACACGGACCACCCGGGGACAAAGGAAACCGGGTGAGTCTGAGTCCTCGCACTTTGGCTGTGGTTACTAATGTCATCATGGTGAGGTGGAATGACCAACTGGGGATTCCTGACCGAACATGGAAATACAGTTTTTCCTGATATATCATCCTAAATTAAAAGGCTTTATAGTGAGGGGCTTCATCCATAGCATTACAGGGAGCCCGGGACCTAATCTTGAAATTGAAGCATGTATTTTTCCGCGTGGAAAGGGGAGGCTGAATCCCAGGGCAGCCATCAGATTAACATTGCCATCCAGTAACAGGAGTCACGTGCCCAGCTCTCTCTAGGTTGCCCTGATAATGGGCCCCTAAATGATATTTTTATATCCATCGTTGCTGTGTCCTAGTCTTCTGACACTTAGTTTTACCAGGCATCCCAGGCCACTGGTGAGAGAGATAATAAATCCCAGTTCCAAGAACAAGCAGACAGCTGTTGTACACAGCCAATCCTTTAAAAAACTATCCCGGCCATTATTTCTCTTGGGACGAATCGGCAGGACTATGAAACAAATCGTGCCTTTCGAGGCCCCCAGCTGCCCCCTTGGTTTCTGCCGTGTTCACCAGGACGCAGTTGCTGAGTGTCTGTCCACAGCACCCACAGCCACCTGATGGCACATGACATGTGGCACGTTTGTGCCCAGGAGAGATCATCCCACTACATCTGACCGAGGGATGACTTTTGGGTTCCCTTCTAGAACGTCTCATTGGCTGCCTCATCACAGGGGTTCTCAGTGGGATGCACGTCCCCTAGAAGCCCAAGAGCATCTTCTAGTGGGAATAATACCCAAGGATCTTAGAGGTAAAAGAGGAGTGGGATGAACCGATGGAGAAACGAGGCCCTGAACTATGATAACATGTTCTGAGTTCCCAGGAGTGTTAGAGACAGAGCAGGTGGCTTCCAGAACCCAGGCCTTCCGCTGATCTTTGAACACCGATAGCCGTGTTTATGGCTAGAACATGCCAGAATCTGTACGTTTATATCTGGCATCAATGGAAGTCTCTTCCATTTAAGATCGATTTATTGAACGCTTCCATATTCCAAAATTTTCCTTTCTGTCAGCTGGTCAAAAGCAATCAATTTGTCCCATATATCCTTTGAACAAGAAGGAAGAGGCAGAGTGACCCCCTCCCAGACTGTCCATGGGGAGCCCAAGTCTAGAAACCCCTGGAATAAACAGTCCTACTTCCAGAAATGGGCCAGCCTGTTCAGGCAGGCTGGGAAGCCCACCTTCATTACTGTGGCATCCAAGAATTTAGGCCACTAAAATAATTGATCATTGCACCTCTCAGTTGACATACTAACCTTTCTAATTTATGTCTAAAGTGTTCCGGTGTTCTTTGTTAATTCAATTAACACTTGTTAAACCTATCTCTTATGACTTTTTCAGTTGGCTTGAGGCACTGGGCATTTGAAGGCTGCAAAGCTAGTCCTCCCATTGGTAGTGACTGTGTGCTCTAGAGGGCAGGCAGGTGGACAGGGGCGGGAGGCTGGTGGCTCTGATGCTCAAGGAACCGAGGTCATTGAATGAGCCGCTGAGTCCCCACTATGCAGTGGGGAAATATTTCTTCTCCACTTGCTGTGTCCAAGGTTTTATACACTTCCCCCCAGTCCCACATATAAATCAGCAATATGTCAGTAAAAGTCAAGTCCAGAAAACAGGCAAGGTACCCGAACCTTCCTCTGAGTGCACCATAAAGAACCAGTCGACTTCTTCTGAAGGGCAGCTTTCCAAATCAAGGACCAGCTTGTTCTTCCATCTAAGACATCTGACTCTCTGGATACCCGAACATCCTAGAAGAGTCCCACCTACAGCTCACCTTCTCTTCCAGACCTCTTTATACCACCAGCCCTAACAGGACTTCTGAGGGGAGAGATGAGGGTTTGGTAATAAAAGCCTACAAAATGAAGAAAGGTCCAGGCAGAGTCAGCTCTGTGCCCTGACCAGTGTTTTCTGGTGCCTGGAAGCTCAGAATGCTGACACTTTTGTCAAAGTAAAAGGCCAGGAGTGCTAAGATGACATTCTAGTTGGAAGCTTCACTGTTTCTTGTGGAGGTGAAGCTGGAGATGTTCAAGACGCCCGTGCCCACCAAGTGTGGAAGGGGGCTCCCAAACTTTGCCCCCATCACACCCGGGGTCCCCGTCAGAGAGGCTCGGGCGGGCTCCCCACCGTCTGTTATCCTATCTCACAGCCTTGAAGCCATGCTTCTCCAAGTACCGCCAGAGGATGGTCTTGGAGTCTCCTTTCTGCTCATGGAAGGAGGACAGTCCTGGTAGTGGTGGCCAAGGCCCAGAGCCCAAGATAGGCAGTTTTCCAAGGGGACACACATGCCAGGGGAATGATTCTGTCCTTGTCACTAGGGGCATTCTCCTGTCCATTAACAGCTCTGTGAATTTGGCCCAGGAGCCACTTTTAGGATGAAACAGTCCATCAGAGGATAAAGGGTGGTGTGAATTTGGCAATTTGGGTATCAGGAAAATTGGGTGTAACCGAGGAGCTGCCTGCAAGCCAGCCAATTGAAAGGTCTGAGAGTGTGCGGTGAGGCTCCTCCCACTCTGTGAGAGGTGCCATCTGGGGGGGGTGTGTGTGTACATGTGTGTGTGTGTGTGTGTGTGTATGTGTGTGCCTGGGTGTACATGTGTGCGTGCATGTGTGTGCACGTATGTGTGTGCACACTTGTGTGTGTGCATGTCTTGCTCCCCCAGGCCCCCTTACCTCCTAGCTCTCCCTCCTCTGCTCTCTCTCTCGGCCTCAGCCTGCTTCTTCTTTCCTTTACTCCTTCACTATTTCTCCCTCTAGATATGTTCACCCTATTATAATAATCCCATAGCCCGCATCCTTTCCCTTCCACTCCCCCAACTTCAATTTATTTCCTCTAAACGCAGTTTTGTACATTTATTTTTTTAAGAAACCCCTGCTGCTTGACTCTCTTTGCCCCTCTCCCATACCAGCTAGAATCCCCTCTGCACCAGGGCCCTTTTCATGTCCTCTTTGGGAGAGGGGAGCAGGGGGGATGGAGGTGAGGTTACCACTCTACTGTCTTCAAGGGGCACCCAATTAAGGCTATTTCCTGTGCCCTTAGAACACGATGGCCCAGAGTGCAAGTTTCCCATCCTGAAGGGACCACCGCTGACCCTCTGTTACCCACAGGCACGTCATCACCATCCGCCACTCCCCGGGAGCTTCTCTCACCCTCTGAATTTAGGGAACTGTGCTCACTTTTGCACTGGCCTGACCCAAAGAGAATAAGGGGCCACATTCCTGAGAAAGTTTCCCATGGGGCTTCCCCCTCCAAACAGCTAGTGGTTTGGCTTGTCCCCTGTCTGCAGATTAATCGTGCCATGACTTCCTCATTGGCGGGCGTATCTTAGAGCCAATGAGATGACCCCTAAGATGCGTCTACATGTTTCCTCATCTCATTTTCTAAGCAAGCATCTGCATTTTAGAAAACTCACTTAGAAAGATGTGTTGGCAGCTGCAGGCAACCTCTGCAATCAAGAAATGTGGGTAATTTCCAAAGACCTGGAGAAACGTCAGAAGTATTCCTATCCATTGCCTCCCTCTAAGGAACCCTGCAGCCTTCCACTGCGGGAATACGGCAGACACAAGACCGTGCCGCTGGCAGCAGCCTTGGCTCCTGTACTGGCTGACAAGAAGTAGCGATCGTTACTGCTGTCTTTATGAAGCCACTGTCATTTACTGAGCACCTACTGTATTAGTGCACATTTAGTATTAAGCGCTAAATGTGCACAAAGACCTCGCAACAAAGTTGTTTTTTTTTAACCTCTATATTGGAGTATTACTGCTTTACAATGGTGTGTTAGTTTCTGCTGTATAACAAAGTGACTCAGCTATACATATCACAACAAAGTTTTGAGGGAGGTATTATTATCCCCATTTTACAGATGAAGAAACTGAGGTTCAGAGAGGTTAAGTAAGTTCCCAAAGTCATGTGGCTGATAAGAGGCAAATCCTATTCTGGCTCCAAGCCTTTGCTCTGACCACTTGGCCACCCACCCCAAGGGACACTGTGGAAGCCCCCAAGCATTAGACAACCGGCCTTCTGTAGAGGAGGAGAGTTCCCAGGAAGACTCTCCAGGGGCACACTTGGCCCCTTTATAGAGAAACCCAACATACAAAAATCCAAACTCAAATTCATTACCAAGAATTTCCCATAGCCCCACTTTAAATGGAGAGTGACCCTGACACATACAAAATAGGGTTCAGTTTAGAAAGACGATGTTTACTGAAGCTTTTCAGAAACAGATGAATTTCTTGAACCAACATACCCATATACAAATAGCTGCCTATGACGTCAGACCAGGATGGACCAGAGACACACATAAAACGGGAGGACCCCGCCGAGAACCAGGTGCCACCTATGAGCCGTGGACACACACATACACACGTGCACTTGTACACACACGTGCGAGCACACACTAGTACACGCACACACTTGTGTACACATGCGCAAGCTCATATACACACATGCACAACCATGTATGTGCACACGCCTACACGCCGCATTCACAGCCACATGCACACACACACCCCAGGGCTCTAAACAAAATCACTTTGCCTCCTCATAGAATATCAAAGGGACGACAACGAGTTGGGACAAAAGCTGTCAGGCCAGACCCTTTCAAAAATGAACCCTCAAAGAGAAGGAAGTGGGTCCCCCAGGTTCATTATAGATGCACTCTGGGCTCAGAATTAGCAAAACTGGCCACCAGTCTCATCCATCTGCACTTCCTCCCACCTCTGGCTCTCAGCCCTATTGCTCCCCACCCCCTCCGCACCTGCCTTAGCCAAATTCTCAGGTTCTTGGAGGGGTGGGCTAAGGGACTGACCCCTAATCCTACTGGGGAGAATATCCTAATTGAGAGAATCTATTTTTCCCTCTTTCATTTTTTTTTTTCTGTCTCTAATGTTAACACATGAATGATCCTAAAGTTTTTATGTTATTTTTTTTTCTTGGACTAAACCATTATTTACAGGGGGAGAGGGGGAAGAAAGGCTCTAGAGGGCCTAAGGGGGATAAGGGAGACCAAGGAGCGCCTGGATTAGATGCCCCCTGTCCATTGGTATGTTTCCATCTATCACTTGGTTGTTCTGGGTTTTTCCTTGAGGTTTGCAAGCTGGAAACAAAGAAGGCAAATAAAAAGATGAAAACCGAATGACTCCACTGATGCCACCAAAACCGACCTGCTCATGTGACTGATGAAATTCTGCCTGCTGTTGGTGTTGCCCTAAAACCACAGCTGCAAGTAATTCCCGCTAAAGCCCTTTCCTTTGAAGATGCCGAACAATTGATATGTGGAAACGGAGACACCACGAGGAAAGGGATTTGGGAGCAGGCCTGGGCTCTTAGCTCCAGGCTGGCTTTGGAAGCCAGTGTAGCAATTGTGAAACCCACCCCGCATTTGCCTTCTTCGTTTCATGGCCACCTCTGTGGCCAGCAGTTCAAACTGTCTGAATCCCCACTTGGTCAGGATGCAGGACACTGGGGTTAGCGTCTCCTGAGGGCCATCTATGCCCCAAACTGGGCAGAACGAGGCCAGAAAGGGGCTTTCCTACACAGCCTCCCAATGCTCACCAGCCATCCGGCTAAAACCTGTAAAGCTGCAGACCAAAATCTGTAGACAGACCCCCACGAAGCCTTCCCAAACCAGCCAACGACGAATGATTCGTGGCACATATGCCGGGCTTCTCAAGTGTCCCTCAACTCATTTGAAGGTCCTGAAATTATGATGCGCTAAAGTTGAAGTTCACCTGTGTTTACTCCAAGTGAGTCTAGATGGAGAGGGGGCTGGATGTACACGTTCCAAAGCTCAACTCTCCCAGGAGCCAGAGAGAGCACAAAAGCTGAACTGGGAAGACGGGAATCAACTGGGAACTGGGGTCTATTTGTAGATGCCTCGAGGGTCCTGCATCCTGGCCAGGGTAGGACAGGGCCTGTCCACACCACAGTCGGAGCTGGCCAGCCTTGACCTAAATAATCATCGTGGTTGGTTTTGTGAACAGGGACACCGAGGTTTTAAAGGAGAGAAAGGGGAGCCGGGGTTACCAGGGCTGGACGGACTGGATGCCCCGTGCCCACTGGTATGGCATCACCCTCCCTTTCCTGCATGGCCAGTGTGGGCTTCCCCACGTGTGCGGCTTGTGCCTGTGCGCCTCTCCCGCTGCCCTGCACACTCCTGCTTGTCACTCTTCACTCAGTAGACACCAAGGGTCACCCTGCCTTAGCTGGTCCTCAGGGGGCTCCCGCCACGTTCCCCTCTTGCATGCAGAGTCTGCCAGGATGCTTTCTTGGCTTCCTCCTGCAGCTGCTTCAAAAGCCCATCACCTTAATGTGAGAGGCCCTCCCCACCCGATGCCAACCTTAGCTGCATCAGACCCTCCTTTCAGAACTGCTTCTAGACAAACCTGCCACCAGAAAGAAAGCCAGGGAAGTGGATTCTCAGGACAAGTTATGAGGATTGTGACTTCTCTTCCTTCACACACTGCAGTTAGTTGGAAAACCGTTGGCAAAACATTTCAATGAGATGCCTCAGTTGGCCCCATGTCCCGCTCCACTCCAGCATCGCACGATTTAGCAGAGGAAAGATGGGCACCTTATGAACACGGGGAAGAATGAGGAGTTCTAGAACCAAAGTAGAGGAGGGTGTACGCTGACTGTTCTTCCGGCAAAGATCTGGGATCACTGCCCCGGTGACACCCCCAGAACCAGGGGACGGTCCAAAATCAGGATCCTAGATCCTGTAGGGTTCATCCTTTATGCTTAAATCTCAGAAGACACTACAAGACCCTCCCTTGGTTTCCCTTTTTTTTTCATCTTTAGGTGGTTCACAACCAAAAAGTCTGAAAGAACCTGGAAAGGTTAAGAATGTAGTTAAGGAAGGGAAGGGAGAGACAGGGAGGGAGGGGCGACATTTAGGACCCGCTCCCAAGCATGTCCCACCTAAGTGGTGGCATTTCTGGTCCCGCTGGGCCCAGTCCCTCTCCAAGCAGGGACACCTGAGGCTTCTACAGCAATCCTTTGAACATACTGCAGGGGAAGCAGAAGATGGCACGTCACTCCAAGGCAATTGGCTCAAAAACTTCCTGCTCTCCTAAATTTCTGGAGGAGGTTTGGAGCTCATGGATCTAGTTTCATACCAGTAATTGTCAGATGAGCATTCCCAGCCTCACATCCCCACCCCAGGGTAACAGAGGAATTATCTTTGTGTGACCCTGACAGGTGACCATAGAGCCCCTTGAAGGGACTTTTTAGGACCACACAGGCAACACGAAGGACGGCAGAGCAAGCAGCGTCGCAAGCCTCCCGATCCCACCGCGCTCCCCACCTTCCCACCCCCACCTTGAACCCCCAGCATGCAGCACGCACCGCACAGGCGCCTTTCTCAGCCGTGGAATCTCCCGCGCCCTCCGCAGCACCTCCGTTAACCAAGCAGCCAGGCGTCCCCTCTGCCATGACCCTTCCCACGATCTGAACACTTGAGTTCTGACAACTGCAGCCCTGGCCTCCCTGCTTCTCACCCACACACTGTCACTCCCCTCTGCCTGCCCAGCCCTCCTCTGTTCCCCCTGCCACCATCCACGTGCCAAGGGGAATGCCCCTGTGGTCCACGGAGGCTCCTCTCCCTTCCAGAGACCGTGTGAAGTGTCGCATTGTGGCGGGCTGGGGAAAGGGACAGAGGTCTTCATGGAACCCTGGGATGCACCACCTCATCCTGCAGACCCTCCCCGACCCAGAAGGGACAATGAAAGTTATCTTGATTTGACCTTTAATGCAAACTGGCATTTTCTCCAATAACATTTGTGTGTTACTTTTGCTGTGAAAGTGTACATGCCTTGCCTTTCTTGTTTCTCATTGTTGCTGTTCGCCGTCTCCTGCGCTGTGTTACTGTGGAAGTGGGGCGGGGCTGGGGGGCTGTTGATCGGGAATTTCAGTACAAGGTAACTAGACTTCTGCGGCCCCCGTGCAGGGCCAGCTGTCTGCTGGATGCCAGGTGAGTGGTTTTGGCACCTGTCATGGGTGGATGAGTAGGTCCAGGGCACAGGGTGCTCCCCTTCCGGGTTCGCGGGGGCTGACCACTTGCTGCGGTCCCCTGAAACCTCGTGTGCGTCTCTTTCTCTGCCCTGGAGCCTGGAGTTCTAGAATCTGGGCTGCAATTCTAATAGACCCGAAATGAGAACCAGAGCTTTGCCCTGGTTCAACCTCACCCTCCCCACCTGCCTCTAAGTGGTTTCTAGGTTCCCGCAGGGAGTGCCAGAGCAGCCAGGATAGCAGGGCCCGAGGAGACTCGGGACGTCCTGAGGCTGCAGGTGCTCCGGAGGTGCACCAGCAAAGGGGACAAGCGGCACCCGGTGGATTCCCATTCCACCACGGCCTCTTCCCCCCAAGTCCCCAGCAATGGCTGTGCCAGGAGCCCTGCCTCCTTGCTGAAGGCACCTCAGGCCCACATTGCAATGCCTGTGAAATCACCCCTCCTCCTCCTTACTGACCACCAGATGGGAATTGCCTAGATGTCCTCCCCCAGCTGCTAAGGAAGAGAGAAAAAAATCACAGAATGGGAGAAGTGGGGGCGGTCGTTTCATAGAGCCGCACCTGCCCCAGGTTTTACGGAGGAGGAAACTGAGGCCCCCAAGTGCTGAGTGACGCCCACGGGCACCCCGCACTCAGTACAGCCCGAGGGGAGACCAGCAGGCCTCTGGTCTGTCCTCTCCACAGCATTCAGGTGACCCCTGCTTGCTGAGCCCACAGGCTAGCGTCTTGGCCTTGCACTGTAACTACATGTGAGCCTGGCCAGTGGGCAGACGGGCGGGCTAGCTTCCTGCCTCCTTTCGGCTCAGCCCTGGGGTAGAGAGACAGACTATATCGGGGGGCCGCACCCTGATCAGCCGTCGCGATGCTTGTGGCCCTTGTTCCCTCTGTCCTGCTGCTGGTGGGCCATCCCACAGAGTCTGAGCCGTCTGCCTTCCTTCCTCACTGCAGGGTGAAGATGGCTTGCCAGTCCAGGGCTGCTGGAATAAGGTAAGGTTTCCCAGGGTTCTAGTGCCTTGGAGCAGAGGTGTCCTTGGGCTCCTTTCTCTATGGTGGAATAAAGCATGCACTATTTCCATTCTGGGCCTTTCTGCAGATGAGGTAGCAAGACATGGGTCAAAAAAGGAACGATCCCACAGGCAGGGTGCCCATTAAACACCCTCCCACTCACTGCACAAAATTGAGAACGTTTAAAAATGATTTTTAAGGCATCCGCAAACCCGAGTGTATGGAAGTTCCATGTAGTCAGACAGATGACATCTTTATGCTTTGTGTGGTTAAATTATACAATACTTCTCCTGCAAGGAGTTCTAAACCATGTTTTAAAATTAGTTATTATTAGCTAGTCTCATAGTGCTCGTAGGAGGCCATTTAAGCCATTATCCAGATATAGGAAATCTAAGTTGTTTAAACTATGAAGTCACATAGATTCTATACCTCCTCCTAGAGATCGGCCAGCTCACCACTCTACCTTGCCCCTTGAACTTAAGCTGTCAGAGCTCCATGCTTCTGCACATGAGACCTGCAGCCCAACCTCTCTTGGGTTCCCAGAATTCCTACCAACAATGAGGTTTCATTTGTTCACACTTGCCCCTGCATTTGCCATCATTAAAGCCATCTGACAGCACTGGGCTGTGCCCTTACATGCAATCACCCCACTCATCCAGGGCCTCCAAAGTGCAAGGCTCCCCGGCATGACCAGGGCCACTGATTTGCTAATCCAGAAGCCCAGCTTGGTCCTGGCAAAGGTAGCAGCTGCCATGCAGTCCCACCCACGGCCTCCCTCCACCTTGCCTCCCGCTCAGAGACTTCATGCCAGCCCTTTATCACTGAGGTCTCAAGGTGTGGGTTCATCCTCATTAAAGGGCTGGAGTCCACTACCTGCCTGAGAGTTTGCGCTTAGCTGATCCAGTCCTGCCCAGTGACAGCAGAGTCACACTTACAATGAGATGAATACAATCCTCCGGCTAAGTGCCCACAATCTCATTAGTTCACGGGATTCAGTAAAAGCAATGAAACCACCCAGGTACCTAAAGCGCCCCTAACCAGAGAAAGGGAAAGCTCAGCCCTCAAGGGAGATGCCTCCCCAAGAATCTGTCTCTCTCGCTGTGCCTCGCCCTCTCGGTGAGTTCCTGTAGACCTAGTTAGCTCCAAGAAGAAGGAAAGGGGTGCGTCCCCTAAGAAAAAAGATTTTCTTCTTCAAGGTTGCTGTGGATGGTTAGGAGATAGAAATGGTTGGGCTTAGCAGGGGAAGAACAGCCTACTCTCGAGAGCTGCAATGTCTGGGAGAAGCAACTAGAGAGCCCGGTGTCTGTTGGTTCACACCATTAATTCATTTTGGGAAGATGCAGTTAATTCAACAGCCAGGCCTCCAAAGGCCGCATAGGGAGAAAGTGCCCTCTAGTGGCCAGGACGGGGAATGACTGGAAAGAGAAAGTGGTTTCCCACCCTCAGGATGCTGAGAGCCAGCACCAGGGTCTTGGAACGAAGCGGGTTCCTGGCTCCCCCAGTTCCCCTACCCAAAGCTCCCATCCAACCCAGGACAAGACCCACCTCGTTTCCCACAAGGGAAATAAACACTCACAGACCAACTGACACTAACTCCATGTTGTTTTGTGTTTGTTTTTGTTTTGCAGTGATGCCTCTAACCTGGGATTGGCCTGTGTGTGTGTTTGTAAATAGAATATTTATTTTTATACAGTTTCCACTTTTTGAAAATGCCCAAAGTATGATGCATCTTACAGATTATTAAAAAAAAAAGGAAAGCCTGCATATTTTGTACAGAAAATACCAACCTCCTCCCTTTTGTTTACAAGATGTTTTGTATACGTCTAAGGCTCTAATACACTTTTCGTTAGTGAGTACGGCTGTACGTTTGCATGATATTTGTGCACACTTATTAAGTACTGAAGCTTAATAAATTATTGTGTTCCAGTGCCAAAGGGGGCCAACCAGCACTCGGGTGCTGGCTAGTTTATGTGTGACTTCAGAGATACGTGGAGTTCCATGGTGTTTGCTAAGCTAGGTGTGTCTCAGAATATCTTAAACTCTTATGGACTTTCATTATTAAAAAAATTAAACGTGGCAATCCTTGATCCTGATTCATCACTAAATTAAATACATTCTTTTCTTGTGAAATCAGGAAGTCCCAGAAGCGGAGGGTCCTCAGAAGTGTAACGGTTTGAACCATTAAGTCCGACAGAGGGAGGGCTGGGACTGTATTAAGCAACGTCTATCATTAAGTTACCCCAAGTCCACTGCGGTGCCACGTGAGTGTGGCCCCCAAGGTTACAAAGGGCTACTTGCTGCTGCTTTTGTTTTTTGGTGGCGCGTTTTTCTTTCTCTGGGGGCCGCAGTCACTAGCAGCTATTGCTGACGATGGCCATTCATTTGCTGTAGATTTGCAAGGTCTACTCACAGCTAATAGCAGATGAAAAGTTTGCCTCACAGCCATTCCGCTCCAACAGAGAACGCTCAGAAAACAGGAATCTGGGCAAGATATTGGCACTCTGAAGCTGTTTTTATTTTTTAAGAAGCTAGAGTTTTACGGTTTTCTGTACTGTTCTTAGTATAGCGCTTATAAAGGTCTTGCTGCTTATAAATAAAAGAAACCTATTTTAAAGACTAGGTAAGTATTACCTATGGGGCAGCACACAGGTTTACTGTTACGTGTTACAACATAATTGGTGCTTCTAGAGGGCTTGAAAATAACGAAGTACTTGGGTAATTTCAACACCCCCCCCCATTTTGTTTGCACTTTAATGTGTCTTTATATGTATATCCTTTCATCATAGACAGTACAAAGTCACACTGAAACGGAGACCCTGTCCGCGCATGGTAACAGAAACTCTAAGTTAATGAGCTTCACATTCGTGGGACCCCTGCCACATTGTGAGGTCGCACTCACAGACTCTTATCTTCATGGGACCACCACATGCTGCCCAGACCCCAGGGACCTTACCAGCGTGCTTACCAAATATCCACTCAGATATTTTGGAAACCAGACACCTTTCTCCCCTGAGTCTTGGCTTCCTTGTTTGAAAAGTGAAGCAGTTGAATTAGAGCTACTGTCTTTGGTCATCTCTCCCCTCCACTGGTGGCAGAAGCATGAGGGACCCAGGCCCCAGCCACCAGCTGGTACACATTTCTCTTCCTACAGAGGGAGCATTCCAGGATGCCGCACTCCCCCGATAATCCTGAGCCCAGGGATGTTCCTCGTCCCAAGCCTGCTCCCCAGAAGCTCCACCAGGCACAGTGAGGGCAAGCCTGGCCCTTTCAGGGGTTAAGACAATATTTTAATTTTCATTTCTTTTAAACTCAAAAGAAAAAAAATGAATATATAATCATGAATCCAGCTAGGTTCTACCAGAGCAGTCATAAAATATAATTTTTTTGTATTTTTCTGGAGGAAGGAGTCTACACAGGCAAAAGTGCCCAGAGCCCCTGAAAGTCGTAGCACAGCTCTGCCCAGCCTCTGCTCCTGGAGATGTGCTCTTGCCCTGGCTCCACTGACTTACGCCTCCTGCAATGCCACCCTCCTCACCTCCACTCCCTCATCTGAGGTCCTGAGGAATCAGAGTGTAACCTGGTTTTCCTAGAACCACTGCCTCATTCCCTTTCAGGGTCTCACTGGAGCAATCAGAGCCCATTGATGATCTCAAAATAGAGTCAAACATAAACTGGAAAGATCCAGAAACAGATTCTGTGTTAGCTGAAGACCCTGAATAACTCTTGAGCAAACCAGAACCTTACTCTGTTTCCATCCTGGTGTTATTATTCATTTATTTATTACACCTCAGCTAATAAATACCACAAAGGGTTCAAAGTCACTTGCAAGAATACAGATAATAAAATAGAAACATGTGTAAAGAAAAGTTTAAACGTCAGAGTCAAGGAAAAATAAATCAGGCAGTGGCAGGCGAGCCCGGGATAGGCGGGGAAGAACCTCACACATTTCACCCCCAGGGGCCTGGTGGGCAGAGAAAAAAACCAATCAGCCTGGTTTCAGCATCCACACTGCCCTCCCCTGGGGGGCAGTTCACTGAGGCTGGACCCTGTGTACACACGTTGTCTCCCCCCGGAGTTTGGTGCCTCATGTATCCTCAACCCGGACATCCTCCCCGTCACAGGGCTGCGAGCGGCACACCCCCAAACCCCAGACTCCTGACGTCAGGGAGCCCCAGGCCTCACTACTTGGACCTTAACCCAACTCAACTCCACGTCAGATGGGTTAGAAGCAGGGAGACAAATGGTCAGGAAGCAGGGGGGCTCGGCACTCATGCTGGCAGACAGGAGAACAGGAAGAGGCAGGTGCTAGAGGGACGGTGCGGGGAGGCAGGCGGGTGCCTTGCAGGAGGAGGGATGGACCAGGGGGCGCCGCACAAGGCGCTGGTGGCAGAGAGGGCTCGGGGAGGTTAAAATGCTCACTCTGGTTCTGGGGACTTGCAGCCCCCCCTTGTTGAGAGCTGCTCTCTCAAGGAGTGAGGCACCAAGCCCTGCCCGGGGGGCAAATCACGGCCCTGTTGGTGAATGTTCTCTGGGACCTGCAGGCAGCTGGTCTGGAGAACCACCTTCTCTGGTTCGCTCCCCTCCCCATGCGGTGGCACCAAGCGCACCTTGTAGCTGGCACTGTCTGCTTGGAGACTTGCAAACACCCAGCTGGACAAAAGACTGAGCCAGTGCCCTCGTGGGTGACAGTGTAACAGAGTCCTCTAGGCCCAAATAAGGACTCTCATCAAGGTCAGCCACTTGTGCCTGCGCAGTCATGAGGCCAAAGGAAGCCCCACCTCGCTCAGGAGGTGACGGCCCTTCCACACACCCCACTGCCCCATCGCAGCCTCCCCCAGTGCTTCCTTCCTGCCTGGCCTCCCTTCCCGGGGCTCGCTTCACCTGGCAGAATGGAATACCACAGACGCGGGGAGGGTCAGGGTCAGCCTGTGAAGCGGGAGGGCACTGGCTAGGAGTCGGGAGCCTCAGCTCCCAGCCCTCTCTATCTGGCTAACGCACTCCAAGTCTCAGTTTCCCCAGGTGTCAGTGACAGGTGACCTCTGACATCCTGAAACCCCGATTCCACTGACCATTCGGCTCTTGGGAGGACTGGGATGCCGGAGCATTCCATGCCCCTCCACCGAGAGTCATTTTTGGCTGTGACAGTATCATGCATGGAGCTGGCCTTGCAAATCTGTGTGCTGCATGCGTGTGCTTCGTAATCCTGAGTGACAAGACTCCTGGACTTGCAGCTTCCCTGGGGCAGCCATGGCTGCAGAGATGGGGTCTCTCACAGAGGTGTCCATGCTGCTGCATTCGTCAGAGAGTCAGCAGTGCAGCTTTAACCACCCGGCATGCGGCTGGAGCCCCAAAGCCCCACGAACGTACAGGGACACTGCTGCCTTCCTCACACCAGGCTCCCTGCTCCCCTCCCAGGGCCCCACACACACACCCGCAGCCTGGCCTCGCCCCCTACCGGGCACCTGGACACACTCTCAGGCAACTCGAGATGTCAAGCACCTAAGACTCCATCCACACCACCAAAAAGAGGGCAGGCCACTGATGAGTGACCCAGGAAAGAGGAGGAAATCCACACGGAGACGGAGGGCAGAGAAGGAAGGGGGGGCCAGGGAGGAACGGCAGTGCCTTTCTCCAAGGAGGGGAACTTGCAAGGGACGGGGAGGAAGGCGCAGGGAAGGGAGCTGGATTTTGCGCCAGGGCAGAATTCCACATGCAGTGACCCTCCAGTTCCTAGACCAGCCCTGCCTCTGAGGAGGGGGCAGAGCTGAGCCAGGGATGGAAGCCTTGCACCACGGGGGCCTCCCCAGCAGGGCCTCCCTTTCCAGGTCTACTCGCTGGCCCCTGCGTGCACCCTCAGCTTCCGCCTCCACACCTGGCCCGTGCAGGGCCCAGGGCCTGGAATGCCATGCTTTCTCACCTGTCAAAGGTCTACCTCCTCCTAAGGCCCAGCTCAGACTCCATGGCCCTGGGAGTACCTCTCTGGGTTCCTCAGCTAGATGAGTCTCCCTCCCTGGAACCATCAGGAACTCTGCTTTTCTTCCTCCACCTTCTATTAGACTAGGAAAGTCGATCTCCCATATTAGGCAATGAAGTCTTAGCGGAGAAGGACTTTCTCATTCACTGGGCTCCTGAGGGACCTAGCTCAGGTCTCCCTGCCAGGGCCCTGGCCTGGGCTCATAAATGCCCCTGACCTGCTGAGTTATCAATCTATTTTATGAAGCACCTACCATGTGCAGGCATTTAAGGCAGCTGGGGCTCCTAAGGACCGGAAGACACAGCTGGCCCTCCAGGAGTTAACGGGGTGCCCAGCAGTGCAAGGACTGCGCTGAGTGCTAGCGAGGGCGCGTCTGAGGAGGCCAAGGCCGCCAGCATGGCCAGAATGAAGCGAGGCCTGGGGGGTCCAGGAAGGAATTAATAGCAGAGAAGGAGGAGCTGACCACTGCAGACAAGCGGGCCCCTCCCTTGCCACATCCTCATAGAATCTTCCAGTGGGCAGGATCCTGGGCCACACCAGCTTCTCAAATCAGGGGAGGGCATACAGGATTGTGGTGGAAGGGGACAGAGAGGTCCAAACTGGGAGGGTACCTGCCAAGGTCACCAGGTCAGTGGGAACCCCGGCTCGGGGAGGCACCCCTACATGCCCATCACCAGCAGGGCTCTTCCTCCAACACCCCCTCTCTCTGCCTCCTCAAGGGCCAGAGTCCATGGTTAGTCGCCAAGAAGTGAAGCCAGGCAGCCTGAGCCTTGGGGAAAGCGCCTTCCCCTGGAGGAGGGTGAAGACGGAGCGGCCTCCGGACAGAGGGTCGCGGGCCAAACCCTTCCCGGGGGTCTGGCTTGAGGGGGTGATCAGAGGGTGACCACGGGAGAGCGTGGGACTCCTGCGCTCTCTAAGGGCCAGCGCTCGGCCCGCAGAGCGCAGGCTCACCCCGCCTGT